AAATGGGTTTAGGTCTTATGTATGTAAGTTTCATTACCTTTATAATTCTATAAGAAGATGTAGTATAAGGATGGGAAGAACAGAGGGTAAAAACTAAGTATCATTCCACTTAAATCTCCAATTTCTGTTAAAGCCATTACTTAGAGGTGTTAAGTTCTATATATTGAATTGCTCTTCTTGCTAAAAATTTTGGTGCTTGAGAATTTCTCTGTTCAATATCTGTATAAACAAGGTCCTTGAGAAAGATAATACACACACAACTAATCTTGGTTGTCATTTTTCAAAGTGATACCATTCAAAAGATCAATACTAACTAGCTGAGAAATGTAACATATTCACCATAACACCCTTGGTCTAGGTAATAATTTCCTAGTGACTCAGCTAACTGTGCCATCCAGGTAGCATCAATCTCAATCTCTTGGCTTTCCAATCTTCTTCCCTCCATCCCTTCCTTCCTCCTTCCCTCACTCTCAGGAGTATAAGTAGATAATCCAAGCTGTGCACTAGAAATAAGAGAAATGTGTTTGCTGTTAGCACATCTTTGTGAAGATGCAAATAATTGGGGTTATAAAGAAGCTTGGCATATATTCAGGTTAAAAAGTGACCATTTCATAAGTATTCCTGAATAGCAAACAGGTGTTTGGACTCTTGTATGGTCCTCCCATTAAGAAGTTCCCAGGAAACTGAGTGGGAGAAATTAGAGAGAGACAAACCATGAGATACTCCTAACTCTGGGAAACAAAGGGTTGCAGAAGGGGAGGTGGGTGGGGGGATGGGATAGCTGGGTGACGGGCACTGAGGAGGATACTTGATGGGATGAGCACTGGGTGTTATATTATATGTTGGCAAATTGAATTTAAATAAAAATAAATAAATAAAATTTAAAAATAAATAAAAATAAAGAGATCCAGACAAAAAAAAAGAGAGAGAAGTTCCCAGGAAGTTAATCTTCAAAATATATAAAGAATTTATATAACTCAACACCAAAAAACCCCAAACAATCCAATAAAAAAAATAGGCAGGGGACCTTATTAAATATTTTCCAAAGAAGACAGGGCCAACAGACAATATGAAATGGTGTTCAATATCACTGATCATCAGGGAAATGCAAATCAGAACCACAATAAGGTATCACTCTGCACCTATCAGAATGGCTAAAATAAAAAAAGACAAGAAATAACAAGTGTTGGTGAGGGTTTGGAGAAAAAGGAACCCCTATGCCCTGTTGGTAGGAATGTAAATTGCTGTAGCCAATATGGAAAACCATATGGAGGTTCCTCAAAAAATTAAAAATAGAAATCCCATATGATCCAATACTCCACCACTGAGTCTTTACCCAAAGAAAACGAAAACACTAATTTGAAAATATATATGCATCCTGTGCTTATTGTAGCATTATTTACAATAGCCAAGATAAGGAAGCAATCTAAGAGTCCGTCGACAGAGGAATGGATAAGGAGGATGTGCTCACACACACCCTCTGAAATATTACAAAGCTGTAAAAAAGGAGGCGATCATGCCATTTGTGACCACATGGATAGACCTAGAAGATACTATGCAAAATGAAATAAGTCCGATGGAGAGAGACAAGTATGATTTTACTCATATATGGAGTCTGGAAAAAAAACCAAATAAATACACAAACAAAAAGTAGAATCGGACTTGCAAATATAGAGAACAAACTGGTGTTTGCCCTACGGAGGGCTATGGGGAGATGGGCAAAATGGGTGAAGGGAAGTGGAAGACATGGGCGTCCAGTTGTAGAATGAATAAATCACAGGAAAAGAGGCACAGCATAGGAATATAATCAATGACACTGTAACTGCTGGATGGTGGCAAATGGTAGCTATGCTTGTGGTCAGCAGAGCATAATACATAAACCCAGCAAATTACCATGTTGCACACCTGAAACTAATGTAACATTGCATGTCAACTACACACAAATTGAAAAATATTAAAAATCATAAAAAAAAGAAGCCCCCAGGAAACCCCTTCGTTCAGATATTATTTTGCTATTAAGCTTATAATTGTCAATGTTCTGGTAGCAATGGGGGAAAAAAATCAACTCTGATGGTTTTCCCTATTTTGTGACTCTCACAAACAGAAGACTGAATTATGACTTTAACGGCACTAGCCATAAGTCTGCAAAGTGTAATTTTATTTTTAGTCTGTGTGTCCATTCATCTATCTATCCACCCAACAAATAGCTACTTAGGGTGTATCGTGTGCCAGAGTGATGCAGTAAAAGACATGGGTCTTTTATGGAGTTCACATTTGCTGCATTTTCAAAGTTGCCTTCATTGCAATTTCCTCTCTTATTTATTAGAGACTTTAGAGGTGTTAAGCTTTTTTCCAATTAATCAAAATTCGTATGGCATAAGGAGAAAGCACATACTCTGAGAAAGCTCTTACCCTCTGGATCCTTTGGATTATTAATACCCAGCTTTATTTCCTTGGATGTTCCCTTAAATTGTGAATAATTTAAAACATTAAATTTTTTTTTGGTGGAGAGCAAAAAAATTCTATATGCATTGCAGAATTCCTTTCTTTTTAAGGCAGAATATACAACACAGTGGCTGTGTTGGCCTCTCTATTGGGATGGAGCATCACTGGTATCAATACTAAGTAGCCCTTGACCGCTATGATTTTGGGGGTCACTTTGTTTTGTTTTGTAGTTTATCTGTCTTCTTTTACTTTATGCTGGTAATATCAGACTACTTGCTCAAGTTCTTGACTTTTATTTACTGCTTCTAAGTTGCTAAGGTCTTAGAAATGATCTTACCATCTAACAGGATTGTTAAAAACAATCAAACGAGAGGTAAAGTGGCTGTAAAGGAGAATAGAAAGCTGTTTCTGTGAAAAGATAAGAACTTTATCTTTGTGATATCTCTTTTGATTGCTCAGAAGCTGGTCTTTATTTTCTTCTTGTTTCTCTATAATGTTATAAATAGACAACATTTGCTGGTGACCCATGTTCTCGACAATTAAATTTATTCCTCTACAGAATGTAGCATTCCGCATGATCTAACCTTTTTTTTTTAATGGGGCTTCTTAGAACTATATTGTGCCACTGGTAGCTATTTCAGCTATTTAAAAACTACTAAACTGCTTACTATGGTTTACTAAAGCGATATCATGAAACAAAAGTAAGAGGTAGATATTTTGTTATAATTGGTCTATTGTTACAGTTGTACACGAATAGTCTTTTCCCTATATATTGATTTGGTAAAAGCAGGGCTTCCTGGAAGTGCATGCTGTGATCCCTAGACTTCTAGACTTCATCATTTCTGTAAGAATACAGAGAAAGTGAGACTTGTTGGCTAAAATCCCAGAGACCACACATCAAGAAAAGTGAAAGTACCATGCCTTACTGCTTACCAGACCAATGTCTTCTCAGACATCCTGAGGGAGATGGGATAATGCTGAGTGGGACTCAGAGGAGAGAACTGGAATCAGTGGTCAAGAGTGGCTTTGGCTTTACTGGGATCTTATTAAAGAGACACGAGGAGAGAATATTTCTGGAGATTTCCAGACAAACCAAATGAAGAGTGCTAAAATTTGTGATTAAAAAAAAAAAGACTGGAAACTTTTATTAAGTATTCCAGCAAGTCAGAAGGTTTTTTCCCCCTAGAACTCACTGGTTTCATAGTCTGAAGAGTTAATATGTCATGGAAGCTACATATTTTATGTTCTCTTAAAATTGATGCCATTTGATGACATAAGAGGGTATTAATCATCAAGACCTGATAAGAGAAGAGTGGCTCTCCATGTCTCATGTAGAGCTCAGGATCATTTTATACCTCATTCTTGCTTGTTTTTAGTCGTTCCCAGCAAAGGGCCCCATACTGAGTTCTTATTTTCTACAGCTGGGCTGTCCATCTGGTAGCCACTTGCCATCTAAATGTACTAAATTGAATAAAATTAAAGGTTCAGTTCTCAGCAGCACAGGCCACATTTCAAGTGTTGGGTAGCCACACGTGTCTAGTGGCTATTAGACTGAAGGGCAGAGATGTGAAATATTTCCATCACCACAGAAAGCTTCATTGGATAGTGCCATTCTAGAGTCTTGCCTCACCTGTACCTATGGTCTCATGAGGAAATACTGGGGCTGGCAGTTTTATCTCTGACACCTTAACTTGGGAAATGCCTGGATGAGCCTGACTGTAGGACTTCCTCTGAGTTGAATCCTACAACCCTGAACCTTTACCGCTTGGCCCCTCTCTGCAGCAGGGTCCCCAGGGAGGTCTAGGACTTTATACCAACACTATTTCTGTGTCATCAGATTCCCTCTCTTTGTATTTTGAAAACTGAGTTATTTCCACCAGTTCACCATGTAACTAACCAACCAATGTTCTTGGTGACTCTGTTAGCAATGAAACATGTTTAGTATGTTGTAGAAAAGACACTTTAATTGGGAGCTGGACAAAAAGAATTGTGATGCTTTAGGGCTCACTCCGTGGTTCTACTCATCTCAACAAGACATAGAGGGCCAGTAGACATTCTCCCCATAAGCTGTCAAGAAATGTGCTCCGTTAGGTATTTTGATTATCTATCTGTATGTTCACACGTTTTTGTTTTGGTTGAGAGTGGAGATGATGAGGTAGCTGCGGAGGGAGAAAGTATTTAGGTTGAAATAAAAACTTCAATGGAGTTTGAAACCCAAGCCCCACAGGGCAGAATGATTAGCTTTCGATGAATTCTAGTCTCAGAATTTCCCAGTTTTACTGAAGAGGCTCTACTTTTAGTTCCTCGGAGCTTGGTTATCATTTTGATTGGATATGAAGGTGTTACCTGTAGGTCCCTAAGGAGCTGGGGATGGACACTGCTGAATCCTTGACTTCGCTCTACACAAGTGACTCTGGACAACTGACTTAGAAAATTTAACAGGTAAAATTACCAGGTGGGATTTACCAATCAGCTTTGATCCACTTGTTGGGAAGCCCTGCTGATGGGTATCTGTGGCCCTCAGTATGCTCTGGGGAAACCCTCCACCAACCTACTTGTTATGAAAATCGTAGATCTCCTGGATGTTGCCAAAGATGATGTGCTCTTTATTAAGAATCCCAGGGGGGATCTCCTCCACGCCACTGGTCATCTCCCACAGGTAGGTCTGTAAGACAGCAGCAGTATCGTCACTGGCAAGTACTACCAAATGCAGACAAACAGGTCTTCATTCATCCTGGAGGAGTAAGACTCTGACTGGGCTTGCATGTGTGGTGTGAAAAGTGAGATGGTAAATACACAAAATGGGAAGAAAGAAAACTCAAACGTTCCATTATCTTCAGCTGTTGCCAGGGAAACTCATGGCCTGAGCTTCAGCAAAGCACAAAGCTCCCGTTCCTCTTATTGATTAAATGTGTGTGTGTCGGGTGGGGCGGGGGGGGGTGGGGTGGGGTGGAGGCGTAGATCTGCAGACCCAACTTAAGTTCATTGACTGTGTCATGGTTTTTATTTCAAATTCAAGTCTTACATACATTTTTGCTGGGTCCAGCTCCAGTCTGAGAAAAGTTTCTTTTCAAAAGCACTTTCCACTCCCATGCAATTACTACTGACTCTGGGAGAAAGATCTCCTCTGTTGGCTTTTATTTGTGAAGCTCTGGGAGAGACAAAGAGGACTGAGCTTCTCTCAAGGACTTGATGCTGGCAAGGCTGTCATTTTTCCAAGATAGCTGTGAACTGATTACCTCAAGACTTACCTCTAAGCACTCATGTAAGTCCCTTACATAAGCTTTCTCTGTCTGCAGTAATTCAGCCATAATGAATCTAGGAGAAAACAAATGGGCGTTTAGTTGGTTCGAGATCTAATACCCCCCTTCCTTCAAACTTTGCTTCCCTACCCTGGCATTTATGACATTCCCCAATGACCCATTTTTCTATTTCACCAAGAAGAAAGGAAGAGTCCTTTCTTCAAAACTCTTTGCCTGAGTATTGTCCTCTGAGTCCCTGTCACCTTGATGATTTGCTCTGTATCCCTCCAGCATGTTTGTGTTCAGCTAGTGCCATATTCTCTTCCTTTTCAGCCCCGGTTCCACCACTTTGTGACGCTGTGCTAACATGTGTTCGCAGTTGCATGTGTGTGCTTGCATGTGTGCACAACATGCAGCACCATTCGTGTTCATTCCCACCAGCGGGGCAGCGCGACTCTCAGCTTCCCGCATTTCCTTCACACTCCTGGAATGATGACTGCTGTTCAACAGAACTGCTGACTTACACCAGAACGGTCTGCAGAACCATCACTTAAACCAGGTGTAAAAGCCAGGCAGAGATGCCCAGGACACCACCACGGACACTGAAGGTTAGCAAACTTTTTTTGTAAAGAGCTAGGTGGGAAGTACTCATGGACCATTAAGTCTCTGTAACACCTACTCCACTTTGCTGTTGGAATGTGAAAGGAGCCGTGGACAATATGCAAAAAAAAAAAAAAAAGAATAGTAAGTGTGGCTGTGTTCCAATGAAACTTTATTTATGGATACAAAAGGGTTTCACCTAATGTTCACATTGCAAAATATTTTTCTCCTGCTATTTTTTTCAACCGCTTAAAAATACAAAAAAGTAATTTTTCACTTACAGACTATAGGAAGGGGAGGGGTCACATGTGGCCTGTGGCCCATGGTTTGCTGACCTCTGGCCTGGATTACCCTGAGCGCTTTGCCACTATTCTTAATGGGGCTCGCTTACAACCTAAACTGGTGTGCGTGAAGCGGAGCATGCAATCATAAGCAGAACACGAGTTAACAATGTTGTGACTGCTCTTCAGTGTCCCTTAAAGAAAAGCTTGTGCTCTGCATCTGCAAGGAGAAGTCTCCCTTCCTCTTGGGCTCCTGAACAACACAATGTTCTTGGTTTGTAAGATGGACAAGGCTCACTGTTTCTACTCTCCAACGCTCTATAAGTTTTGATTACTGTGAACTGTGGGTGGAAGCATCATGTCTGTCCATTCCAACCTCTGTGAGTGGACACATTAAGCTGTCAGAGGGATATGTAGCAGTGAAAACCAAGCACAGTCATGAAGAGTTTGCCAATTGGGTAGAAGTTCCCCAAAACATACTCTTTCTTCCGGGCTGACTTCCGCTTCTCTTCATTGACTTCGTGGTTGGCGTCCCGTAGCTTGACCTCACGATCTGAAAGGCTTGCTGGGATGATGTCCAGCTCCAGGTCCTTATTGTCCTACACAGAGAGATCCCAGAGGTCACCTTGGAGATGCTTTGGGAGAGGAACTCATCAGAGTTAGGGGAGGCAATAGAAGGCAAAAAGAGAGAAAGATATAATGGAGCAGATTAAGAAGAGAGGGAATCCAACACATGGCCACCTACAAGTCCTCTTCTTCATGGAACAGTTCTCTTTTTTTCCCCAAATAAGAAATATATAAAATGTTCAGGTCAAATGGTGAGGGCTAATATCCACAGCAAGGAAATATAAGAAACACATTTAATAATTAGTGTCACGTTTCCCCGAGGACTTTGGTCCTGATTAAATCTAAATGCGCTACACAAAGATAAACTCAAAATGGATGAAAGATTTAAATGTGAGACAAGACTCCATCAAAATCCTAGAGGAGAACACAGGCAACACCCTTTTTGAACTTGGCCACAGTAACTTCTTGCAAGATACATCCACGAAAACAAAAGAAACAAAAGCAAAAATGAACTATTGGGACTTCATCAAGATAAGAAGCTTTTGCACAGCAAAGGATACAGTCAACAAAACTCAAAGACAACCTACAGAATGGGAGAAGATATTTGCAAATAACATATCAGATAAAGGGCTAGTTTCCAAAATCTATAAAGAACTTATTAAACTCAACACCAAAGAAACAAACAATCCAATCATGAAATGGGCAAAAGACATGAAGAGAAATCTCACAGAGGAAGACATAGACATGGCCAACATGCACATGAGAAAATGCTCTGCATCACTTGCCATCAGGGAAATACAAATCAAAACCACAATGAGATACCACCTCACACCAGTGAGAATGGGGAAAATTAACAAGGCAGGAAACAACAAATGTTGGAGAGGATGCGGAGAAAAGGGAACCCTCTTACACTGTTGGTGGGAATGTGAACTGGTGCAGCCACTCTGGAAAACTGTGTGGAGGTTCCTCAAAGAATTAAAAATAGACCTGCCCTACGACCCAGCAATTGCACTGTTAGGGATTTACCCCGAAGATTCAGATGCAATGAAACGCCGGGGCACCTGCACCCCGATGTTTCTAGCAGCCATGTCCACAATAGCCAAACTGTGGAAGGAGCCTCGGTGCCCATCGAAAGATGAATGGATAAAGAAGATGTGGTTTATGTATACAATGGAATATTACTCAGCCATTAGAAACAACAAATACCCACCATTTGCTTCAACGTGGATGGAACTGGAGGGTATTATGCTGAGTGAAGTAAGTCAATCGGAGAAGGACAAACAGTGTATGTTCTCACTTATTTGGGGAATATGAATAATAGTGAAGGGGAATATAAGGGAAGGGAGAAGAAATGTGTGGGAGATATCAGAAAGGGACACAGAACATAAAGACTTCTAACTCTGGGAAATGAACTAGGGGTGGTGGAAGGGGAGGAGGGCGGGGGGTGGGGGTGAATGGGTGACGGGCACGGAGGGGGACACTTGACGGGATGAGCACTGGGTGTTATTCTGTATGTTGGTAAATTGAACACCAATAAAAATTAATTTATAAATAAACAAAAAAAAAAAAATAAATAAATCTAAATGCGCGCGCGCGCACACACGCGGACGCACACACACACACACAAATATTAGTCTAAGATTGGTTATTAACCATTAAAATAGATGTAAGACAAACACATATAAAGACATAAGAAAACTTCCATTTGTCTAGGGAAAATAATAAAAGCCAATATTTTTATTTAAACAAGCAATTTCCCTTAGAAATAGAAAGCTAAATGATACAACAATTATTAAATTTGTCCATCCCTGCTTTGTATTTATACAGGATGGAAACCTTTAGAAAAAAATCTCACAGTTTAAAGCCCAGGGGAGGTGTTATTATTTCCCCCAATTTTAGTGGTTTGAACCAGTTCACTCTTTGTTCTGCTTCAGAGCATCAGCCTATTTAAAGATTTAAGAATTAGAAATCCTAGGATTAAATTGCCAGCCTATATTTAGCTCTTAATTCATAGGTTACTGACCTCTATTACAAAGGAGAGATTAAAAGTCAGTCTTTCCTTGATTCTTGGCAAATAGTACCTCTTTTCAGTTGAAATGTCAAATAGCCTTTGCACAATCACATCTCTTATTCTTGAAAGAACACTATTATACAGACAGGGGACCCAACATTTGCTGATTAACATAATTGGGTGGAAGATGGTACTGATGATGCCAAGGTAAAGGATTTAGTCCTCAAAATCAACAGTTAACTCTACACATAGAAAAAACTCTGTTCTGGGAGCACCTGGGTGGCCTAGGTTGTGATCCTGGGGTCCTGGGATCAAGTCCCATATTGGGCTCCCTGATGAGCAGAGAGCCTGCTTCTCCCTCTTCCTCTGCCCCCTGCTCATGCTCTCTCTCTTTCAAATGAATAAACAAAACCTTTTAAAAAAAGAAAAAAAGAAAAAGAAAAACTCTGTTGGCAGCCATGGACCCCACCCTTGGCCAGCCAATTTTGCCATATAGCACTAATCAGAAGGGGCTAGAGGTCAATGGCTCACCAAGATCCATTCCCTCCCCTAGAAAAGTCACACAAGACAAATGTTCTAGGGGTCAATAGCTCAGAAAGACTGCTGTGGAAAGCCCAGCTCCATCCACGGTAATGAGAGCAGCGGTGCTGAGAGAGATGAGAAGGGAGGATGTCCCAGCTGGGCAACCCCCATACCTACCTCTGTGTTGACGCCCAGGGCTTTCTCCAGGGAGTACCGGTACTTTCCCATCCTCAAGGAGAAGTCTCTGTAATGCTTGTCCACCGTGGTCACCCACTTCCTGATCTCTGTGGCATGAATGTGACCTTTCTCCACAAAGCTATCAGCCAGTTGAATCAGAAGCTTCACCTTCTCCTTTGTTTGCTGTCCCAAAAGATGATCCTAAATTACTAGATTACATTTATTCTCATGGCCCTTCAGTCCCATCCCCCTTTGCTTCATAGCAGCCACAGATACCTCACTGCCTGCCTGGGTGTGTAGCCCAGGTCTGTCACTTACTAGCTGGGAGGTCTTGAACAAATTACTTAAATCACCTGTGCCTCAGTTTCCTTATCTGCAAAAGAGGGATCCCAATACTCCTCCATCATAGGGTTGTTGTGAACATTTTATGAGGTGACAATGCGGAAAGCTCAGAGAAGTGCCTGGGGGGGCAGCGCTCACATTAAGAGCTCAGGAAGCAATACATGTTAGCCATCATGATTACGGTAAGGAGCTCGTACATTAATACTGTCCTTTATCAGGTCACAGAATATGTTAATATCACATCTGAGACTCATTTGAGTCTTAAAGCATCTCGAAAAGGTGGGTGGAAGGAGGTGGTGTGGGTCTCTCTGAACCACAGATGAAAAAAGCCGAGGCTTAGAGAGGTTTAGGGCTTGTCCAAGTTCATACCATCTGTAAGTGATAGAGCCTGTTGGCTTCTGGACCACAGTGCCTAGTTCTCTCCCTTCACCGTACTGGCCTGGAGTAGGCTTTGTCAACAGCTAAGTTGGCACAGGCCAGGACCTAAAGAAATCTAATTAGCAGATTTAAGACAAAAGTCTGTCCCTTTCACCATCAGGATCTTGTCTTTAGTTTCTGAGAGAGAGAGAGAGAAAGAGAGAGAAATAGAGAAGATTAATGAAGCCAGTATCTATTATGGGGCTAAGTAAGGTGGAGTTCTGATGTGTATTGGATTAATTTCATTTCTATCAAGGGTTTGTTCAATACCTACTCTCCATACCACCGTGCAGAGGGCTGTGGGGACAGGCTTGGGGGATAAACAAAAGAAGAGAAAAAGATACTTATTTCCCCCAAAGAGCCCATATCTCTAAAGGGGACAGGACTGTCATGCAGAGTGGTTAAATAACTCAGGGCATTATGAAATTGAATGTCAACATAAGAAGTATGCAGAGTTAACACTTCGGGAATTTTAAAACAGGAAAAAAATGAAGGTGGGCTGGCATGGGCAGGAAAGGTCCTATGGGGAGGTGGGACTTACGTTGTGTAACATATAGAAACAAAGGAGATATTTGAAGAAGTAAACACTTGCTCATCTTGTAGCCTAAGGTTGGGTTTTGAAACTTCAAGATCAGGGAAGCTTGATTAATTTTAAGAAAAAGGGAAGAATATTTAAATGACATTCTGAGAAGTAAAGTTATCTTTTATGGTGGAGGAGAGGAGATCCAAGTTTTGGATCCTGCTAAAATCTAGATAACTGAGGGGAACTGAGGCAGAAAATCCCTGGAGCAGGGACTAGAAGAGACAGAAGCTCCTGCCTGTATTCCATCCTCCTCCCTCACTTTCCAGGCTCATCTATGGACCTTACACAAGAGACTGACCCTCTCCAGAAATGTCAGAAAGGGACAGCTTCTGACCAGAAAGGCCAGCAAGGCCTGGGAGATGTAGGCTCCGGCTCTCCAGCAACTCGCCTGAGTGTCTCCCAACTCAGGACAGCAGCTGGTACCCAAGCTGGGAGACAAGGGCCTGGAAGAGCTTTGTCATGAAGGAAAAAAGGTGGGTTTGAGGATAAGAGAAGCATCTCCTTAGCCACCATAAGGCAAAGAAGACAGCACCAAGAATTGGTTAAGAAAAGATCCCTGGGAGCCTAAGGACTTCATCTCATGGCATTTAGGGTTTTTCTCCCCCCGCCACCCAGAAAACAACTGTTAAAAGGTCTATTTATTTAAAACAGAGATTAATTTTTTTGCAGCTATAATCAAGAAATCTTCATGTAAAACTCTTGAAAATATGCATTTTCTGCTCTCAGTAAGGAGACTTCAGCATGAAATGAGAGTTTTACAACCAGCTGGTGGCAGGAGCCCTACAGGCAGCTCCATCACTGGAAATCATCTCCTGAAACACAGAAACTGTAATTCAGATGCAATAAGGAGAACGGTTTGTGACCAAGAATATTCCAGATATGTGTGGAACCTGGAGGAGCAAATGGACAGTAAGTTGGGCAGTGTAGACAAGCCCTCCCCACGCGGCCTCACCTACCTTTGTGACTATCACCATGTTCTCCGTGGCCCCTAAACATCAGCCAACCGAACCTCCCATGCCCCTATGCCCCTCCTGCTGTGATGAGTGGTTCCTACTCATCCCCGCTTTCTATCCAATGGCTCTCTTTCATTCCTTTCCTCCACACAAGCTGAGTGGGGGATGCCCCTTCCAGTGTCCCCACATGGCCACACATGTACCCCAACTTCGGCATGTATCACACTGAGATACTTATGTGCCTCCTTCATTAGACCATGCACTTCTAAAAGATAAGTGTTAACATCTTATTCATTTGTAATTCCAACGTCTAGAAAGTAGCAGGCATACCACGAATGTTGAGTACATGAATTAGTGGGTAAATACTGTGTTTGGAGGTAAGTAAGGCTGGACCAGCAAGAGTTGAGAGTTCATATTGGGAAGAACGAGATGAAAAAATCGGACTCATACACTGGACTCCCCAAGGCACCTACTGAGAGTAGTCTGAAGTGATTTCTTATACACAAGTGACCAGAGGGGCACCATGTGACCTGCCACATGCTTGGCCACAGCTGATGAGATCAGAGGTAAAAACATGTCTCAGTGGGGCAGCCCATCAATATGCAGCCATTGCCTTCTGTGGCAGCCTGGCCTAGAATCTCTGTCTGAACAGGGGGAGTTAAAGTTCTTTTTCTGGGGACTTCAACAGCCGAGGGAAGTAGGTAGGTGGTACAGGGTAGAAGTGAAAATACAGAAGCAGACACGAGAAGGGCAAGCTGAATCATAGGAACGGTGATAACATATTCCTGATCCCCCATCATGAGATGACCAGACAGTGGGGTTGCTGAACTGCCCTTGGTCTAGTTTTCATGCCCTTTCTTGCTCTGCACATGAGGCCGAATCATTCAGATTTTCTTGGACTCCTGGGAGGTCCAGCCATGGCTTCTCTCTTCATTGCCACATATAGCCATATACCATCTGGTTTGAAACTCAAATCTTGCCACCAAAACAGAGTAACTTATCTAAGACTGACAAAATGGGGGTTAGATTGCAGAGGCTTCTGAATGGTAGGGTCAGAAGAATGGGTGTGATCTTGTGGACAAAAGGGAGTCTTTAGGGGATGTAGTTCATTTGGGCCTGGAAATCTAGAGGAGACAAGTCTCTTATCTTGAGCTTCATGGGTCCGCTCCCGTGTGTTTTGCTCTTTCTGTTTTGAATTCTATGTAATCTGCTAGAAAAGAAGGGGTCAGTAGTTCTATTTTTCTTCTTCCCTCCCCCCTTCTCTTCCTTCCTTCCTGTGATCAGTTAATATTACAACATCTTTCCCTAATCAGTGAGCCTTACTCTGACTATAGTTTGTCAGAAGCCCTTTCAGTGTCTTTTGCATATTATCACAAGTCTGTTAAGATTTAGCCTTCTTGATAGAATTCTTATAATCTGGTTGCAATCTTCCAATCTGCCCTTCACTGCAGGTATTCCTTGTCTTTATTGATATACTGCTTGTAGATATGAACTTATCAAGCTCCCTGATGTGGGTAAACAGCCATAATTCCTCCTGAGTCTCAGAAACGCAATGCCCACCTTTTATCTGAACTGTTCAGATTCTACTTTTCTCACTGTAAGGCACCTGACAGCCCAGTTGTCCCCTTCCCTCATGGCCTGAATTCCTGAATTAGCTAATTTAGTTCAGATCAGGTTCCAGTCACTTTGCTACCACTAAATTCTCTTTTGTTAAGAAGAATTAAATCCAATTTATCTCATAACTTCTTTCACTGTCAGAGAGAAAATGACGAGTCTAAAAAAGTGTTCTCTCGACCTCATCACTCATTGGGAGATGTTCATCAAAACTCTGATGGGATATCACTTTAGACCCTCCAGGGTGGCAATATTAAAAAGACGAATGATCACAAGTGTTGGGGAGGACGTGAAGAAGTCAGAACTCTTGTACACCACCAGTGGGGATGTAAAATGGCACAACGACTTTAGAAAAGAGTTTTCAGCAGCCCCTCAAAGAGTTAAACAGAGTCACCATATGGTTCGGTCATTCCACTCTTAGGTATAGAGCTAAGAGAACTGAAAAGATATGTTTACACAAAGGCCGGTACACAAATATTCACAGCAACATTATTCATGGTAGCCAGAAACTGAAAACAGCCCAAATGTCCATCGACTGATGAATGGATAAACAAAATGTGGTGTAGTTTTATCATGGAATATTATTCAGTCGTACAAAGGAATGAAGTACTACTTAAGGAGGGCACTTGATGGGATGGGCACTGGGTGTTATACTATATGTTGGCAAATTGAATTTAAATTAAAAAATTTTAAAAAAGGAACGAAGTACTGACACAGGACAAGGAAGAACCTTGGAAACATTATAAGTAAAAAAAGACACAAAAGACCACATGTTATATGATTCCATGATTCTGTTTATATGAAAACTCCAGAATAGGCAAATTCACAAAGAAAGAAAATAGAGCAGTGGTTCCTGGGCTGAGGAGAGGAAGGAATGGGGAACGACTGCTAATGGGTATGGGGTTTGTTTGGGGGGCGATGAATATGTTCTGGAACAAGGTAGTGGCAGCGGTTGCACAGCCTTGTGAATATACAAAAACCACGCAATTATAAAAATGGAAAAACCAAAGAACCTAAAAAAAAAAAGTTTTGGTATTAGAAGAAATCGATTTCTTCCAGCTGTCAAGATGATTAAGCTTTCCTATCATCATGTGCCTCGACCCCTCGTAAATTTTGAAACCCACATTAGGAAAGTACCTTGTGTATTCTCCTAACTGGCTTTTCTAGGCCCACCACGATAAGAAAAATGGTATCCTCACATCCCCACCCAAATTCTCTTTATCTGATTTTTATTCTTATACTTGTGGACTGCTATGTAGCAAGTACCTTTTTATATCCAGTGTTTCTTCTACTTGATCTGCATCTTTGGAGCAGAGTATAATAATTCAATATACTCCATATGTTCTATTGCCTTATTTAGTCGTGAGGGCCACCATATTTACTCGCTTGTGGTTTAAGGTCAATTTAGTTTCCAATCCAAATTCACTTTCCTGGTTACAAGGATTACAATCAAAGATGGCTGGTTAAAAGAGGCTTGCCTCAGGCAAGTGGGGCTGGAGTGGGACTGGAGGCTATCAGCTTTTATCAGAAAATCTTTGGCTGGATTCATTATCCTGTAGATAGACTAATAACAAACAGCCCCAAGCCTTGGGACACGTCAGATGGGAAAATGAAACTTCATTACAGAAAGAGTTAAGTTAGGCAGGAGAGAGAACAGAGAGAGCCAAAGCAAGAGAATCATATTAAATATAGATTTGGGAAAGGAAGTCGTTGAAATCTACTCAAACCTTTTCCCCCCATGTTCACAAATATCTGCAGCCTCTCTTCAATGCATGATTCAGTCAAGTAAGTGAAAAAAGCATGGCTTTTATCCTTTGGGCCCTTGCTGGCTGATATAGGAGATAACATCCTGGAGAACAGGATGGTTCATGGCAGGTCCCTTAAGGGTTATGCAGACGACCATGGCTGGAGTGTAGGGATGGGTCAGATCACAGCCTGGGGTGTTGCTAGGATCACAGAGGAGGAGGCACTCCAGTAGAAAGGTGGGCTCTTTATAAAAGGTACAAACTAGAAGGAAGGAAACGACATTCTACGCAGAAAAATAGTATAGAAAAGGTACAGAAGCAAGAAAGTGTATGATGTATCTCTCAGAGGGTAAGAAAATACATCCATTCAGCTGGAGCATGATATTTGCACGGAAGAAGGACGAAGATAGTGCTGTTGTGGAGGTTGTCGGCCTGAAGGCACTGGCGAAACACTGAAGTTCTTGGAGTGGGTGGTAATGTGACCCACCCTGTATTTTAAAGATGAAGAGAAATGATGAGCAGGATGGATGGGAGGGAAGGAAAGGCCACAAGCATGGAACCCAATTACCGCGGTTACAACGTGAATCGAAAAAAGGAGAAGGATAGGAAGAAGATTTTTTAAATGGACTAAAAAATCCTCTACATTTCCACTTAGGTTATGAACAGATTCTGATCCTAAGGAGTTCTACTACAATCCATCTTACACGTGGGTGGGAACGCCAGTGGATCTGATCCATTCAGCTTGTTAATGGTTTATTATTGACACTCTTTGGAGAGGGAACGATGACACAATGGGGGTCATTCAAAAGCTATTTTCATTTGGCTTTGGGAAGAGATCTGTGCATCTGCCACCTTCCCGTGCTGTTTGCTCTAGCTGATACCGAAATGAGTCTCTTATCCAAACTGACAGCTTTCCACGTTGGATAGAAAGGCCCCAGAGCTCACAGGTTTGCAGGGGAAGCTCTCCCATGATCAAAAGTTTGTCGTGTAGGATTCATAAAGTGAATAACCACTTCTGAAGCATCAGTTCAGGGATGAAGCGAAGGGTCTAACTTTGTTAGCAAACTAGAGGAAATCTGCCTTCGTGTCAGAGGGATCTCTGGGGAGGATAGGCATTAGTGCATCCCCCCATCCCCACCCCCACCCTGCCATGACCCCCACAAAAGCAGCTCTCATCCGGGAAGAGCATCTGCCATGTGAGGAAGTGATGCCAAGACAGGCTCCTTGGTGGCAGGGAGCCCAGTGTGAGGGACGAGGATGCTACAAAGAGCGAACTGAGACAGATCAGATTTTCATTCAAATCCAAGGGTCCTCAGGTCAAATCCCGGCTGTGAAAACACATTTTCTCCTATGATAGCATTTCCTGCCTCAGTGTGAATGGGGATGGGAGGGTGTGGGCCATGTGCACCAGTGCACATTTTGTTCCCCAGAGACCCCAGCCTGGCTCGTTTGCCAGCTCTGGGGCTGGATGGAAGTAGTCAGCTCAGGACATGAGACGCTCCCTTGCTTTGTGAACCCATCCATAGTCATCGGCCTGTGGGGTTGACTTCCCAAACCATTCAAACACCAAGAGTGTGGATGGGTGCCGATGTTCACACATGCAGCTGCATTTCCCATGAATACATCCCTCTGCCTTCCTGAGTCTGAAAGAATACAGCCGGGTCTAGACCTGAAGCAGGACGATGATGAGTATTTGGAAGCTCAGCGTATCGGAGCTGACTCCCCTCCTACAGATGCTCCATCCAGCAGCTGCAGTTCTCTGGGTGTTCAGGTTCCAAAGGGGATCATCCTACCTGGGCTTCCCCACCTGCCCCGCCAATTGCCACCGCGGTCAACATTTTGGGGTACAGAGGCCGCTTTTCCTTCCATAATGTGGAACTGGCCAGACTGGGGAGTGCTGGGTGGATGTGGGGAGGGCCCGGGATGCTTCCTACCTTGGCAGGCACCCTGAATTCCCCATATTCTTTCAACAGTTCCTGAGTCTCCTCTGTGGTCTCTCCAGTGGAGGTATGCGTTGAGAGGTAATATTCCCCTGTTTCTTGGATCCAGTCCAGCGCCTGTGGGAGGAAACAACCCATCGGGTCCCCCATAAGGCAGCTGTCAGTAGGAGGACATGCACTGCTACACTGAGACAGTGTGATGGACCCAGGAAATGGTGGCACGTTCAGTCAGTATGTAGCTTGGAAGCTGATTTCATGACTCAGCGCTCTCCTTTTAGACGTGGAACATTCTACCAGTAAAGATAGTGTCTCACCCACCAGCCCCCACCTTCTAGGCCAGGTCCAGCATCATCCATGAGTTAGGGGCAACCTAACCCCAGCATCTCCTCCCAGTCCCTGGTACAGAGTGCTTGGTAAAGGCTGAAGGACTGGTAAGGGGCAGTCAGTTCTCCTTCCATTTATTGGCACCACTGCCCATGTCTACTCTGCCTACTGCCATGACCTTCTTCTGGATTGTTCCATGGCATGGTCATTTGGGCATCTGCACAGCCCCAAAAGTGAGGCAAAGCTGGGGAAGGCTCTGGACATACCTGCTTAGCGCTGCGCTCAAACACCACATACTGCTGGCACTGGTCTAACCGCCGCTTCTTCAAAGTCCAGAAGTGCAGGACACGGTTCTCCCTCTGTAAGAGCTCACTCAGGATGGCTGTGGGGCAGAGGAGATGAGCACTGGTTGGGGAAGGCCATGAACAAATCTGGCCAGCCACTTCCACCGCACATGCGGGGTACCAGATAACTGTGACTTTCAAACCTCCCTAGTGGGACGAATCCCGGTACCAGATGTGAGGAAACCAAAGCCTGGTCCATAAAGAATCTCCCAGAGGGGAGCAAGATCCGAGGAACTGAGGCGAGAGCCTCCAGAGGAGGCTCCACCAGTTTAGGGAGGAAGAGCATGTCCCCAAGGTAATTTAAAAAGGACATGGATTCTCTTCATACCAAAGTCAGTCCTTGATGGTTAAGAGACCTTGGGAAGTGTCAATTCTTAAAAAGCCAACTAACCCTTTGGCCCCTGGAGCCTATGGAGAGTGAGGGACTTGGTAAGAATCCCAGCCACTCTTGAGTTCTAGGAGACGGTGGGAGAAGAACAACAGCATGAGGACCACGTAACTGCGTGGATGACCCGGAGCCTGAGCCACACTCTCTGCCCTGTACAAGAGGCTGTGCACAGAACACTTTAACAGCATGGCCTCGATTTTACAACCTCTAAATCATGGTCATAGGGAAGCTGTGTTAGAAACATATCTCCTTGGAATCATGTCTCTAGGTCCAAACTTCTGTGTTGTTTGGGATCTGATCTGATCTGATCATAAGAAAAGGTGAAAGCTTTTCTCATGTTAACTCTAATGATGTCAAGTGAGAGGAAATGCACAAGGCATGTAGCACCCCAGTGGGCCATGGTAGGTGTCCGGTTGCGTCATGTCTCTCCCTCCTCCTGTCATTCCAGCAGTGGCTGCCACATGCCCAAGTTTCCTATGTGTGTTGCTAGTGTGCTCTATGCTTGAAGCACTCACATTTCATTTGTATTATGTCTGCCTCTGGCTTCCTGCTAACTCTATTAGATACTAATACACAGTAATGGTGATATGAAAAATTAATATTTCTTAAGCACTCACTCCATGGCAGGCTCATATTCTCACAATACCCTGTGATGCATGTACCATTATTACCTCCGTTTACAGATGAATAAAGGGAGGTTCAGAGAGGCTAGGTACCTTGCCCAGGGTCATTTAGATAGGAATGTTTGACTTCCGAGCCTGAGTCCCCAGCTGCCTTGGTCCTCTGGGTTCTAGGGGCTGTGATGCACAATGTTTATAGCAGCAATGTCCACAATAGCCAAGCTATGGAAAGAACCCAGATGTCTATCGACAGATGAGTGGATAAGGAAGATGTGGTGTGTATGTACAATAGACTATTACTCAGCCATCAAAAAGAATGAAGTCTTGCCATTTGCAACGATGTGGATGGAGCTAGAGGGTATTATGCTGATCAAAATAACTCGGTCAGAAAAAGGCAGATACCATATGATTTCACTCATATGTGGAATTTAAGAAACAAAACAGATGAACATAGGGGAAGGGAAGGAAAAATAAAATAAGATAAAGACACAGGGAGGCAAACCATAGGAGACTCCTCACTATAGGGAAAAAACTGAAGGTCGGTGGAGGGGAGGTGGATGGGAGGATGGGGTAACTGGGTAATGGGCATTAAGGAGGGCACATGATGTAATGAGCACTGGGTGTTGTATGCAATTGATGAATTATTAGATTCTATCCCTAAAACTAGTAATACACTATATGTTAACTACCTTGGATTTAAATTAAAATTTTAATTTTTAAATTTAGAAATTTGTAGTACTTAGCACTTTTCATGTATCTTCCTGGAAATTTGATTTTTCTAAGGACAGAATCTGTCTCTCTTCCCTTAGGCTGAGAACTTTTACAGGTCTCAGTTATTCACTAATGTCCATATCTATGCCTCTATTATGTAAACTTTTTAGTTCCTCCCCAAAGAGACAGATTGTAGGCCTCAGTCCCCCAACCCCACTCTGGGGCTCATGTGACCTGCTCTGGCAAATGGGTTGTAAACAGGTATTATACAAGCAGGAACTTAGTGTGTGTGCTCACTTGAGCTTGCCATCACCACCATCAGTAGTTTTCCTGGATGACCACTCCTTCAGCTGAGGACCCAGGTTAATACACGTGGAGGAGACAAGAGCCCAACCTGCAGTGAAGGCACTAGAGCAGCCTGCGGGCAGAACCGCCCTGCTGAGCCCAGCCAAGTCAGTGGCTCCCTAGCCAATGTGCAGTGACCTGAACAACAGATCCTTACAGTTGCAGGTCACTGAGGTTTGGTTGTTATGCCGTAATGATGGCGCCTGTAACAAAAACTTAAATGGCACTTGCCTCAGGTCCAGGTAGCAGGTAGAAAAGAAATGGGTATGGGAGAAATTGTAGGTCCCTGCTCAGATGGAAGCTTCAAGTGGGCAAAGACAAGTGTGTTTCCTCTCATCTTTCTGTCTCCTAACCAGAACTTGGCTCACTGCAGAATCTTATGTGGTGGTGAGGAGAATTAGCCTGGATCAGGCAAAGGTGCTGAAGAGTTTCAGATATCATTTTTCTCCCTTCTGGAAAGCTTTCCTATGGACAAACACCTGACCTCATGGCCATCAAGGTAGGTGCAGCATATCCTGCAATTGCTGGGTGCCTGCCGTGGACAGTTCACTGAGGTGTAGGTGGGCGAGGTGCTCGCTCAGCAGGCCGCTGGCCTCACCCAGACTGCTGCCTGCACTGCTAAGTCCGAACACAAGTGTTGTAGCATGCAGGAAGGGCAGGGGGATAGGACGCCAGCCACCTGCAGGGGCTCTGGACCCCAAACAGGGAGTACATCTGGAAAAGGAATCCTGATTCCCTCTTTGCAGGGGATTTTATTCCTGAATTTAATTATCCCCAGTGGCCTCTGGTCGTGCCTAGGCTCTCCGGTAGGGAGGGAGGCCCTTCCCAAGGCAGACCAGTGCTTCCCACTGCCCACTGCGCATGCAGCTGTCAGCCTGTCCCCACCCCTCACACCCAGGCAGTTTCAGCTCCCTCGCTCGCCTCGGTCTCCAGGCTCAGAGTCCTCTTCTATGTCAAGATGACATCTGTTAAATTCTTCACCCACACAAAGGCTAAGTTCTGCATGGTCCAGCATAAGTGATACCACTGATAATAATTTAAGCTTAATGTGGTCATCTAATAAGCAATTATTAAAGGTTACTGGTTTTTTAATGTAATTATAGATTTTGTAGACTTCAGAGTGATATTAAAGATTATCCAGACCAGTATTTATCTAAATTTTATGTGCACACAAGTCATCTGGTTGGGGCGGGGTGGAGGAGCTCTTGCCGAAACACAGCTTCTAATTCTCATCAGGTCTAGGCAGGGCCTGAGGTTCAGCTTCTTCCACACTCCCCGGTGATGCCAGTGCTCCTGGTCTGGGGACCACATTTTGATGAGCAAGGGTTCAGACACCCTTCATTTTAAAATAAGAAAACTGAAGTCTTAAAGGCTCACCCAGTGAGCAATAAAGCCAGGATTAGAACTTGGTTTTATGATTCTCAGTCTGCGTCTGGTTTCTGGGCTGTAAGATAGTCTAGTCTGTGTTCCTCGATATGTTAGCCACATCTGGCTACTTACATTTAAACTAATTAATCTTCAACTGAAGGGAAAAAATGAAGTTTTCCAGTTGCATTAGCCACATTTCAAGTACTCTGAGCCCACGTGACTCATGGCTATTCTATGCACAACGTAGATACAGACCATACCTGTTACTTCAGCAAATTCTGTTCAGTGCTGCTCTAGGTCAAGATAAATGAAAAAGTGCCAGGGACACTTTATCTTCATTTTTCCACTCCAAATCCTGATGCATGTTTAAAAATTGCCCACAAATCCCCACTACCCATGCCATCCCATAGCAAACGTTTTCTCATCCCAGGAGAAGCAGCAGGAAGTCTGAGAGTGCATGATGACCAGGTACACAGCCTCCAGTCTGTGCTGCTGACGTGGCTCGTGGCTGGAAGCTCCCACACTGACCTTTCACTTGCTGCTCGGGTCCCCGGGTGTGGCTGGCGGCACTGGGCATGCTGACGTTATTCCTGTGGATGTACTTGAGAAACACCTCTGCATTCCGTCGGGCCAGGGTACAGGCCTGAAAGAGACAGAGGTGTGAGGACCCCAGCAGAGGCACAGGTCTAAGATGCTGGAGAAGGGGTGCTGGTGATGAGGTTTCTGCTCACTGTGGGTGAGCAGAGCCTTTGGAGGCCACTTCTGGTTTGCAGACGCTCCAATTCCAATGCAGGAGGCTCATCCTTTTGTGGAATAAGGAATTACTCCCTGGGCTCTCCGCTTTTCCATCCCAGATAAAAATCAGAAATCACCCATCCCTTGACTACCTCTATGTTGACTCAGTATTACTAACGACATAAGTAAATGTCTCAGGCTGGTTTTCCTCTGTCACCATAACACCTCTTAGAAGACCACTGGGGTACGTCCCTTTAGCATTAGTTTAATTTAGACTTGAGAAAGCAAATTTGGTAAACAAACCTATTAACCATACATTCCATATCTAAATGGAAGTTACCCACATTTAAAACATTTATTTGTCCATAAAATCCACCCGCCACCTCAGTAACACGAATATCCTATTGCTGGGAAATATGGACCTACACACAGGAATAAGAGCCATTGTGCTCCCCTCTTCACAACTCACATTAGTTGTGGGTGGCGGAGAGGACAGGTCACGGTCTCTTGTGCCCATGAAGGAGACCCAGGCCCAGAAAGGGCAGGAATCATGAAGCACATCAGGGTTGGAATCTAAGACTATGGACAGAGGATGTCTAGTTTCTCTCGAGACCCTAGAATTTCTAAATTTCTTTAAAGAGCAGAATTTTTTCTGTTGTTGAAGTCTAGGGACAGCATAAGTCTCCCCTTATCCAAGGTTTTCATCTCTGCAGCGTCAGCCACCCACAACCCACTGCAGTCCAGCAGCAGGTGGTTTTCCTGATGTATTGTCAAAATGTCAGTAGTAGTTTAATGCTACATCACGCTGCCTACACCATTCCCCTCACTTTGACTCATCATGTAGGCATTTTATCATCTCGCATCATCACAAAAAGGGTGAGTATAGTCCATTGAGACATTTTGAGGGAGAGACCACATAATGACTTTTATTACATAAAAGTCACATAGCTTTTATCACAGTATACTGTTATAATTCTATTTATCAGTTATCTATTTATTACCAGTCATTTATCTCTTACTGTGCTTTACTTATAAATTAAATTTTATCATAGATATATATGTATAGGGAAATACACAGTGTATATATAGGGCTCAACACTATTTGCACATTCAGGATCCACTGGGGGTCTTGGAACACATCCCCCATGGATAAGGGGACTATTATCTATGCTAGTCTACTAATTTTTAATCTACAATTTTCGATATTATCTAGACAAAACTGTCAAACTTTAACAACCTTTTTACATTTAACACCTGCTTCCATAAATTATATAGTAAAAAATTATTTTAAATTTTGCATTAAAAACAGTGGTTTCTGGGAGCTCTGGTAAAAGATTATTGGTGGGTCCATCACTGTGAGGTTCATGAATTTAACAGCTGGATGGTGGTCCAAAGCTAAGATATCCAACACAGATCAATTAATACATATAAACGGAGAACTCAATGTTCCATCCATCAGGCATTTAATTCCCATAGCAACGGGGAGTTTCTCACCTATGATTTTAGGCACATATGGAAAACATTAGACCAGAACATTTTCTCCTCTCGTTCTTCAAATGAAACATGTACTTTTATGAAATAATATCTTTACACATCTTTTAAAAGTCTTTCACATGCTCTACCTCAGTCATTGTTTTAGACTTTGTTTTATGGTAGAGAAGACTTATCGTTTGAGCCCTGTACAGAAGACTTTTTATTTCATCTTGATAGTAAGAGCTGATTCCTAAGGGTTCTGAGTGCAGGTGCAGGTGCCTGATAGATAGGAGGAGGGAGAGAGAAACCATCTTAAAAAGAGAAGGAGAGGGAAAAAAAAAGGAAAACTCAAAGAGGTGGTCAAGTAGAGGAAATCTCTAATAAAAGAAAGTCAGTTAATTACAGAGTTATAGAAAAGCAGTGGCAACATGTCAGGGTATAAAGATTCCCTTTGTACTTTCAGAAAACTGAAAGGAAGCTGAACATGAAAGCAAGAAATTTGAGAGTAAACAGAGCCTTTAGATAAGTTTTAATACAGACGACTCTGTCAGAGAGAAGATCAAAGGCTAGAGGAAAGAGGCTTACTAGGACTTTCCACAGTAGCTGAGAGCCTGCTCAGAGCAGGACTGTGCTTCCTCTCTGGAAAGCCAGGGCTCTACTAAACACAAAACGAACAAAATGAAGTATTTCTCTCTTCATGCAACAGAATAAATGGTGTTACAGCTATTGGTTATTGATAAAAGATTGGGAAATAAATAAGGTGTCTAAATTTATTTAATTCTTGCCCTAACTGTTGCATCATCCATTTATAAAATATTTATTTTAATACTGTTTTATATCTAGATATATCTATATCTATATCTACATCTATATATCTATATCTATATATATATTTAAGTTTTTAAAAGTTATCTCTACAGCCAAAGTGGGGGCTTGAACTCATGACCCCAAGATCAAGAGTTTGCATGCTCTACTGACTGAGCCAGCCAGGCGCCCCAAGGCTTATATATTTCAATTGAAAGTATTTTCATATGCCAAACATAATCAGGTAAAACTACGTGTTCTTTTCAATTACCAGCATCAATGGGATATCAGGATATTCGAATATGGCACCTGCAGTAATGGTGTATAACAACTGCCTAATTATAAAGAAAGCGCCAAGAGAAATAAATAATGTCTGAAGCATACCTTTTCAATCTTTCAAATTAACCAGCCAATGTCTTCTCTATGAATGCCTCCCTTTAGATAAGAAGTGAGGTAACAGGGGGATGAAGAGCCCATGTGATGAAGTGTGTGTGTGTGTGTGTGTGTGTGTGTATGTGTGTGTGTGTATGAGAGAGAGAGAGACAGAGACAGAGACAGAAGAGACCAGAGATGGAAGAGCAAGGCTAATGCCCCAGACCCTGGATGACAATGTGCTCTGACCTTAAGAAAGGCCTCCTTTTGTTCCAAATGTTTGCTGATGAGTGGGATGACATGGTCGATCTCTGCTGCTGGTCCCAGCTTATCACGTCCGCCACACCAGTCCTCATCTCTCCGGTATTCTTGCTCTAAACTCTCCAGGACACTACAGACCTAATGAACCACAAGGAAAGGCTCATTAAATTCATAGATCAGGGAAGTATTTCCTGAGCACCTTCAGCCAACAGCACCCTGTACAGGTAACATTTTTCATTTGAAGTTCAGTTTGGAGATTCAGAACATGCAGTGCTCCTGGGACATGGAAGGGAAGTGCAGCACATGGTGGGGTCTGGGAGGCAGATGAGGACTGAGATAAGGATTTTAGAATCTTCTTCTGACAGTTGTTGGCTGAAGGCTGAAGCTACAGGATTGATGATGTCATTTAGAGATAGTATATAGAGTAAGTAAGGAAGAAAGACTGGTAATTTTGGGGTGTGTGTGAAAGTGTTTTTTATATATTGTATTGCTGGAACCTTATGATAACTCTGTGAATGTGGCAGAGCAGGAAAATTAAGTTTAGAGAAGATGCTAGGGCTGCCCCACCTTTGCATGGGCTCTATAGGAAGTAGCCCCAAACAGAGAAGTAAGGAGGAAGTGGCCTGTGTGGTGGGACTTAGGGGCCATAAGCGAATGTTTTCTTTTCTGTCCCTTGGCAAAAATATCCCAGCAAAGAATGTCTTGAGGTACCTTCATAAGGCAATGACATCTTTAGTTCTTCCATTACAAAATGGACATTTCCTTCAGAGGATAATAAATTTGGGTTAACTTAAAAGATAGTTGTCCTCAAAATGCATGTCCCCAAAGAGCATGGTCCTAAGAGGCCATGATCTAAAAGTCAAAGCATTTTGAATGGGACTTGGATGGAAGTTAGGTTGGGTGTAACAGAAGGGACCCAGGGTAGCTTTGTCAAGGCCCAGGGAATAGGGCAGAAAATAGAGACTCATATCCCTACACTTTCCTTCAGTGGGCTTTGAATGCTCGGCTATGCAGTTGAGGGGAACAGCTATAACTATCCTGGGTCCCCTTTGCCTAAGAAAGCCATCCTTTTTGATGAAGAGTAAGGCATTGGATTGGATGTCTACTGATGGATGAACTGAGTTAAAAGATGTCCCAGGCAGCACACCCTGTCATGAGAAGCCCTGTCCCTGCATTCTGACTCCTTTAGCACCATACACCTGTCCTTACCCAAGGCATGAACACGTGCAAGATGGCCCACATCTTGAGAGAAAATAGTTTATAGACTTGCAAAAACTTTAAGAAAAGGTGTACTTATGTCCCATGATACTATGTGGACTAAAACCAGTTTGGGAACTAGAAAAAATGAAAGATTATCAAGGATAAATCCTTTAATTTAGCAGGTAAAGAAACAAATCCAGAGAGGTGGCCTTTGGCAAGGTCAGTTTGAAGTCAAATTTCCTAACTCTTTAATATAATGCTTTGCCCCTTCAGCATCTTGACCCACCAAAAACTAAAATTTGTGTATGATACTAGACAGGGATTAAACCCCATTTAAAAAAAAGTCTGGATATAGGTATTCCCCACTTTTCACAAGTTCACATTTTACCCCATTTCACTTTTATGAAAGACCTACGTTAGTATCTGTGTTTGCTAACTGAAAGACGTATGAGGAGGGTTTTCACTTCTATGAAAAAAGGTAAAAAGTGAAAAGAGTGTTCAGTGTTCATTCCGCAGAGAGCTGTCACCCGGCAGCACGCACCCTTGGCCCCTCAAGCTCCTTCCCCGGGGACTACACCCAGCATCTCAGCATCCAGCTGCCACAGCTCTGAACTGTGTCTGTAACCACCTGCGCTCCATCTCGACTTATTCTGTGCATCCGTTAGCAGGACGCGTCCCTAAGATTTCAGAAAGGCCTAAAAGAGGCTACTTTTTGGGTCTGGGAATATTCAAAAATCCTTTTCCATATAAATGAATGGTCATTGCTTCTTTACATCTGGTTTCAGCTTACAAAAGTTTTCACAGGAACATTCTAGTTTCAGATAGCAGGGGAAGCCTATATTCCATTGTCTGACATCATTTGTTAAAGACTTTTGAATTGTTTTGTCAAAAAATTAACTGTATATTTGTGAGTCTACTTCTGGAATCTCTATTCTCTTTCCTGCGTCTATTCTTGTACCAACACCATCCTGTCTCAATCACTGTAGTTTTAGAGTAAGTCTTAAAATCAAGTAGTGTATCTACTTTGTTTTTTCTTTTCAAGATTGTTCGGTTACTCTCAGTTCTTTGTATATCCACATATATCTTACAATCAGTTTTTACAAAGAAGTTTGCTGGGGTTTGATTGGGATTGTGTTGAATCTATAAATCATCTTAGTCTGTTGCTCCCAACTCTGTGGCCATCAAAGGCATCACCACTCTGAAACCACAAAGAGGAGGATGGACAGAAAGTGTGGAGACTGGAACAGTGGCCACAGGGCCCTCTGGTGAGCATGTTATATTTACTCCAAGACAGACTTTCCCATGGCCCCTGTAAGTCACCCAGAGGAGAATGTTTCTCTGATCTATTTCTACCAGGGAACAAGTCCAATGAGGAATTCCAATTCAATGTATTTTACATTGAATAAAATTACTTCTGTTTTAAACCTCTATTTCATGAAAGAACCCAATCCATTAAAAATCCTCTTAGCCCTTGTGCATATTGCTGTACAGATGGGAAAGTAAGGGGTCTCAATCTTTATCATCCTGCTGTATGGATCTCCTGCCTTCCCCCCACAGCTGCACCATCCTACCAGTTAGGCTCCTGGTCTACCAGGGACAGAGAGCTGTGTTTCCTCCATCAGACTAAGAGCCTCATGAGTGAAAGAGCTGTATATTTTTCAAGCATAGTGCCTGATTGTGGCACATTAGTTTATGTTCAGCAGATTGTCACCCTACCCTCCTGACCTTCACAGGAGGCCAATACTTCCCTGCCTCATTGATGTTGGCTGGGCCATGTGACTTGTTTTGGCCAAAAGGATATTACAGCATGTGGCACAAGTGGAGACTTGAGATGCAATTGCACCGATTTTGGGCTCTTGCCCTCCAGCTTTTCACCAAAAATGTGCCTCAAGTAGTTGCTGGTCCAGGAGGATGAGAGACTTGAGAAGAGATCTAGACCAATTCTACAGCTTGGAGCCCAGCTCTACCAAACTCGGACAAGATCAGCTGAACTCAAACACTTAAAAGCAAAAACGCTTATTGTCTCATGCCACTGAATTGTGAGATAGTTTGTTAAACAACATTATTGTGGCAATAGCTGACTTATACACCCCTCAAATCGAGTATTCAGCATACACCTAATTCTCCTTCAACACCTAGATCTGATGAGTTTGAGAAATTTATAAGAAACAAATCACATGTTTCACTTTTTAAGTGGAAAAAATTATATGGAAGCTAATTGTAGTTATTTACACATCATTAGTCTACTAGTACTAATGCTTAGTATTGAGAGGTTAGTACTGAGAGGACTAGCTTCTTGTTGAGGGAGATACTACGGATTTGTAGTATGAGGGAAGAAACAAACCCTCCGTCAACACTGGTCCCCCATATCCCACAGCCCTTCCCTCACCTGCTCAGAAGTTTTATAAAATGCCACAGAGGCATTGACTAGTTTTAGCCGGTCTTCCATCTTCAGCATGAGCTGCTGCCAGTGGAGGGCTACCTTCTCGGCACATTCCCGGATGGCATCGGCGTCGTAGTGGCCAGCCTGGAGCAGTGCCTCAGCTTTCTGCTGTACCTGCAGGGCGCTCTGGTGCGTCTTCTGCAAGGAAGTGGCATGAAAGAGGGACTGGGCACAAGGGGAGGAGAGAGAGGTCCGTGGGAACGACCCAGGCGTGGTACGGGAGGGGGTGGAGTGAGGCGTGAGTGGAAAGATGCAGAAAAGTTAAAGAGCTTTAAATGGTGGATTCAAACATTTTGTCATGACGATTAATACATCATTGTTTTTAAAGCATATTTGAAAAAAAAAAAGAACATCATGCATTTTCATTAACTGAATGCTCAGGACCCTAACTCCTGCCCCACTTTCCTACTTGCATCACTGGTTCTAAACACATCTCAGTCTCTGTGGTAGAGAAGCAGTAGTTGTGTATAAATCTGCTCCCTGATTGGCTCACACGTCAGTCAGTTTTCCTTTTCAAATCTAATCACAAAACCGTTCACTGTAGTGAGTTTTTAAAGGACATTACTGCTGTAGATCCATTTCACAGATCGAATAAACACACCACATAAGGAAAAAAAAAATCTCCCTGTAATACAAAGCTCAGCCAATGATGCAATCACTTTAAACATTAACAATCAGTTGAAAAGGATTCTAGTGGAAGGAATAAATCTGGTAGGTTAATAAAGCCAAAGAGTAACATCTCACTGTCCCTTAGCTACCCCAGCAAGGGAATGGAGTAGTATAGTAGATAATGCAGCTCAACATGTAACCCCTACATTATTACATTACTCATGTTTGCCTTTATATATATACTTTTATAAATATAATATATATATAAAGTAGAAGGTTTATTTTCTTATTCAGGCAAATGTGGTTTGCATTCTCTGAGTTCACACTAACTACAGGAGGTGGGGAGAGCAGGCTGGAGGACTGGGTGAGAGAGAGGAGAGCCAAAGGGATTACAATTTACTAAAATAAAGTACGGATGTGGATGAAACATAGGACTTCAAAGAGCTAATATTATCCTAACCTCAACTGCTAGGATCATTTCAACTCAATGGCACAGTGCTGATTTGGCCTCTGCACATTTAGGAAAGTATAGCTCAGTTCCCAGTGAAGAGGGACAGCTAGCAGCCCAGGAATTTACTCTAGAATGATTTCTGCTCTTCTTGGGCAGCAGTGCCAGGACAGGTCCCAAGAGCTGATCCATTCTGGACTCCCTGTATGAGTACAGTCTCCCTCCTTTTCAGCCCTACACCACCTGGCCCCCTTCACCCACATCCGAGACTGCTGTCTGCACAGTCCTACTTATTTTCTTCCGACTATCAACCATCTCCTGGCTTCCCTTCCCCATCTCTGGAGTATGTACTCAGTGTTCATTATGTTAGCACGACAGCCTCTAGCAGCCCAGACTCCTTTATTCCCTTGCTTTGCCACTAAGTTGGCCCTCAATCATAATGACTGTATCTGAATTTGAGTTCCTAAATGCTGAACACAGCTAGAAAAAGTAAACTAAGGGGGAAAATGATCCTCTACAAATACCTGATTTCTTTCTCTGTTTGACTTATTGGTACCACTTTCTCTTCCCATCTCCTAAACAAAGGGGTGCCCTAAGGTGCAGTCTTGGTTTTTGTTTACTATTTTTTGCTATTACTTTCTTTTGGTAGATGACTCCCAGTATTCATCTCTCACCCTCCATCTGACCCTCATCTTTAATTGTCTTTGGGTGTAAGAGTGAGCTGCCTGCCATGTTTCCCACTCCAGGTCAGCAGCCCTGAATCAGTTGCTCTAGCTGCCGGCCCCAAGTTAGCCACTTACAAAGATGCAACCTTAGTCAAAGAAGTGAAAGGTCTTCCTGGAGAGAGGAGGAATGCTTGTCAGTGAATGCAGATGGCTTGATTGCCTTAATAGAGCCTCCAGATTCCTCCTAGACATCTTCTCAAGTTCCACATCTAAAATGAAATTCCTCCCTTCTGGAAATTTCTTCCCATGACATTCCACCATTTGTGTTGATGGGGCCCTCCTTGTTGCCACCTGGGTTTATGATCTTGACATCATTCCTGACTGTTGTTCATCACCCCATGTCCCAGTCCAACCCACTTTATGCCTAGACTGCTGTGGTGGTCCCATAGCTAGCCTCCTGCCTTCCATTTCTAATCCCTCAAACCAATCTCTTACATTTCCAGCAGATAAATTTGGTTCTCTATCATAGGAAGTGTTTGGATGAAGTGAGTTCTAATATTCTTCTGGCTCTAAAACTCTAATTTTATGCTATAAGTATCACTCCGTTCTCTTAATTCAAAAGCCTTCAGTGGTTCCCCCACTGCTATGATATCAAGCCCAAACTTTGAAGGATGTCCTTAAAAGCTGCTCCCAATGTAGTCCCGAACTACTTCCATAACATTATCATCTGCTGCTTTCTTACAAAAACTCTCTGAGAACACACTATGCACTTTCTTATTTTTGCTATCTTTACTCTTCCTGCCTTTTAGTGAACATCCCTTACTCTCTCCCCATCTATGTTCCAGTCATGCTTTGAGACTCCGCTCAAGTCTGGTATCCTTTAAAAATTGTCTTTTTGGGACTTCCAGAGAAGATGGTGGGATAAGAGGATCCTTACCAGAAGGGAGGTGAATGGGAGGATGGGTGAAATAGATGAAGGGGATCAAGAGTACACACGTCATGATGAGCACTGAGCAATGCATAAATTGCTGCATCACTTTACTGTACACCTGAAACTAATGTAACACTGTATGTTAGCTATAGTGGAATTAAATTTTTTTAAAATGTTGAATTAAAAAAATCTGTTTGGACAGCTGGATACTCACTTAAAAACTACTCTCTTCTGGACTCCCATGTCACTCATATAATATATTTGGCTGATTCTCCATACTTAGACTGAAACTCTCAAGGCAAGCACTGATTTAAACATCACTTTAATAACTGTCATCTATCCAAGGGTATACTCTGCGCTGGGCACTGTGCTTATGCATATTTTTTCTAGTTTTTATGACACCACTACAAGGTGGATATTATTATTGTTCCCACCTGAGTCTCAGGCTGGTTGGATGACTTGCCCAAAAACATACAACCAAGGAGGTGATGAAACTAGGAATAAGATTGAGGTTTGACTTCCTATGCTCATTCCCATAATTTCATACCACTTTATCTCTAGAGTTAGAATGGTATCTACAGTGTTTCATGCAGTAGAAGGGTTTACCAAATGAACATTAGTGATTATGATAATTAACTGGCTTCTCCTCAATATATGAAACCAGCATACAATTGTCATCAAAACCCAATTATTATGTCTTTTTCTCTGAGAGTAAAGGAATAACTCTAATTGTCCTATTATTTAGGCTATGTAATAAATCCTCTTCCTTATTCTGAAACTCATTATCATCTGATAGTCCTTGGAACTCCATCCCCTTTAATTTCCAAAATGACAAACTCTTATGCATATGACATAATCTTTGCTTTGATAAGCTTGAGTCATTATTTTGCATTTATTTCTACTCTCCATTATCTAAGCCTATTGAGTGTTGTATCTTTAAGACGTGGATTACCAAGGATGTTAATATATGATGTTAATGTAGTAGTATATAGAAGAAAATTGAACCAAATCAATTGAATTTATTATCTAGTTTTAACTACTTTTTCTGCCATAATGCTTATGCTTAAAATACATAAAAGGATTTCAAATAAAATTGATTTCAAAATTGAGCTTGTCTCTATGATAGTCACAGTTCTTAAAGACACATCAGCCAAACCATTTTGCATACTAACAAATAATAATTTGAGTTCGTTGATAAAGCTATGCTTCTGGGTGCTGTGTGCTATTCTCTGTTCTGAATGGTTCTGTTTTCCTAAAACCCAGGGTACTTTAGATAAAAATTCTGACCTTCTTTGGGGAGACCAAAACGTTCAAACAAAAAAGGCCACCCAAGCTAGGGTGAGCAGACATCCTAGTCTGCCCATGATAGTTCTATCCTATGCCTATTTTTCTACCTGAGTTATTAATAATTCCCTTCTTCCCTCTTAGAAGTGTCTCAGTTTTAGCAATAAATGTAGTCATCCTACCCATAGCTATTTTTTTTCCCTTGTGGAACCTAGGATTATTTCTTAGGGTCCAAGAAGTCAAGTTGTCTATCAGCAAGCATTGGAAAGGCCTTCAGTAAATAATTACTATCAAAATGGGCCAAGTCAAACTCGATTAGTTAGGTCCCCTTTCAAATTGCATAAATCTTCCCTGGCACATCTTCTTGATGCAGAACCTGGTCTAAACAAACACTTTTAGAGAGAAGCATAAGGCTACCTGGAGAAGAAGCATATTTGAAGTTCATTATTTTAACTATGCTGCAGACCCTGTCTACCCTCCATTCTCAGGACCTTCCAGAAATCCTATCTGCTCTGCTATCTCCTCTTCAGACCATAGACATATACTCCACAGGGGCCTCATGGGATATCAATACCAATATCAAGAATATTTGATCAAGTTGCACCCATGTAACTTCTTAGTGAGCTTCTACTCTGTAAGGATGCAACAGCACCGTTACAAATTAATACACGGTGCTTATGCAAGTCATGGAATCTGGTCATTGCGTTAGCACTGCTAATGCATTCACCCACTATATTCCACTAGCTCCCTGCAATACTCTAGTACATCATGACACTCAGTTTTATTTGCCCAACATTTGCTTATGGGACAGGAAATTCAATTACTCCAGAGGGCAGACAAACCTTCACATTTGAAATAAACGAGGATGGGGTGCGGCCAACAGTGGTTTTCTCTCTGCTGAGCACCCTCACAGCTTCCTGCCACGCCCCTAGTCTGTCTACCTACCCCTCTGTCCTCTTCATGCTGCCTCTCTATGGGGCTTTGACCACAGGGTGCCTGATTCTTGATTGGCCTATTTTTCCTTGATGGTGAACAGACCTGAACACTTTCATATTTGGGCATGCCAATAAACTAAACTGAGACAGAGGCAGGTGATGATAATAAAACCTCTCTCCTCTGCTGAGTTCCTTCTTAGAAAAATGACTTGCCCGCACTGTGTGAGCAATATATAGTCTATTTTAAGATCTTAAATCCCAGACAGTAAACTACTAGTAGTAATGGTTTCCAAGAAGATAGCAGGTATCTTATAGAAACATGTCATTTATGTTAATGCTATGTTTATATATACGAGATTTCTAGAAAATTAAATGGTTGAAATCAATACTAGCTTAAAAGTGGCTAGTAATCAGTTGATTACTGTATTAAAGATATAGGCGCAAACTGTTAAAATGTTATTGTTGTGATGGAAAATTCTCATTAACATTCATTCTTTTAGTAGAAGATAACACCTTTGCATTTCTTACACATTCAAAAGTGGGTTGAGTTTTATACTGAACTATAAGTAATGAATGTCTTTGAAGGTTTCTCTCTGCTCCCACTGGTATTGAACTTACTTTATTTTTAATACTGTTCCCATGTCCCATTTCCTGCTTTTTTCCCCATACCACTCTAAAGCAATCAGCCCAAGTCCCTTTGGGAAGGAGGATGTTCTAGTAGAAAGGATAATTAAAGGTATCATTTAGAGCAAGATAACAAAATTTATATTAGATTAATGTAAGAGGGATTTTATTTTTAAAATAGCCATTAAAACAAGTGTCAGTTGGTCAACTTCTGGTTTCAGCTTATTCTTGAAACGCGGCTTCTGTGTTACTGAACGACTACGTTCAGTGAAGCAAACTATCCTGTGCAACCTGCTCTGATGCTCACTGTTTTTGTTAAATTACAGGCAGAATTTGACAAAGAAATCTAAATATTACATAGAAATCAAATGTTTTAAAATGGAATACAAATATACTAATGACTTTTGTACTTGATTATCTTCATTTCTGAGGGATCTTTAAGTGGCAGTGGCTTCTAACCTTTTGGCTTCACATGCCTCACATGGTGTAGAGTCCATAAAGTACAAAAATCTCAACATACGGGTGCCTTAAGGTGTAAAGGTCCAATAAGTAACCACGATGCACACTTGTGGTGTGAACACCTGTCTTGTAATACTAGGCTTCCTTGGGGGTGATGAACCCCTGCATTTGCTTCACCATCAATTCCTGGGTAACAAGGAGGCTCTCTAGACCACTTAACTAGAAAGAGTCAGTACTTCACTATTAAAGGGAATCAAGCTGCCTGAGGTGCAGAGCAGAAAAGGGAAAAGGACAGTGGAGTCGGATTTGGGTGTTACCTCGATTGCCAGTTGGAACTGCTCGTGTTCCCGCTGCAGCTGCTCGGCTTCGGACAAAGAGCTGGCATTGACCAGGCTGGCGTTGAGCATTGACTCCCCATTGCGGATCCATCCTAGGACCTAGGGAGTCAGGACAAGAACACGGGTGAACAGCCTTCACTACCTCCCCAGAGCTGTTGGCTTTCTCTGACGGGTACTTAAGTCAGACCTTGCTATCTTCTGACCACACTTGGAGAGAGGACAGGAAGGCTCTGGATAATTAAAATGCTCATCTCTGCCATCTTACCTGGCGTCTTGTGCCATAAGGTGCTTATTGTAAGTACCAACCTCATTCTTGGATACATATATATTCTTTTCTACCCTTGTTACCCCACTGTCCCAATTTCCTTACCCATTTATTTTAAACATTATCTGATTGTACAGTATGCACATTTCTGAAGCTCTCTCTGGAATGTAGAATGGTGCAAGTAAATAAATCCCATATATTGGTATTCTTTTATTTTAGCCCAGTTCAGATACCAACAACTTAAAAACCTTTTATACCCAATTACTCCCATTAGAAACATCTCTTCCTCATCTAGTACAACCACACCATGCCACCTTTGTGGCACTCACCACAGATTGCTTTGTTCAGTAATTTTGATCTACATTTCAACATCTCAATATACCCCTTCCCCACAAATGTAAACTTCTGGAAGACTAGGGCAGTATATGAGTCATGTTTTAATCTCACACAGTGCCTAGCACAGTGCCTTACAAATGGTGAGTATGCAGTAATGTTTTTAAAAAAGGAAACAATTATCTATAGACAATACCCAAATCACACCCGAACAGTGGTTCCAACCTCCTAGGCCTTGCAAAAACGGTTAAGAGCACACAGGTTTGAGCTCTGACAGATAAACAACCCAAAGGAAGGAGGAAGGAGAAAGAAAACAAGTAAAGTAGCATAAATAATCCATACACTGGATCATTAGAAAAAAGGAGAAGTTATAATTGATTTAAATTATATAGAGGCAATGGTTAGGCTAAGTAAAATTTCTAGGTGACCTTAATTAGTACCGGGAGAAAGAAAGTTCAGCTAGGGAATATCAGAATAGAAGCAGAAACAGTTGACACCGTCTAGACAGTCCTAGGTGAAATGGGCTTGTGGCAACTCTCCAGCCAAGATCTTGAGTCGAGTGCAAATAATCAAACTGGAAGAATGAGGCCTTGAAAATCTACCTTGTGTCTGGTCACCAGAAAATTGCTAAATATTTTCTTTATTAGGGAGTCTAAGAGTTTGCTTGGAGAGGAAATAAAAATTCTTCTGAAATTTCAAGAATTGATCAGTAAATATCACACATCTGTTACTTCAAGGCAAAGGAGAAGATACCACAATCTGTTTCAGATTTTTGCAGATTTTTTTTTTCTCCTCTCAACTTCATGCTGAACAATTAGAAGAATACTAAGCCTGGTCTCTCCTATTCCATAATCCTCACAGGCATTTCTCAAATTTCCTCCTCGAGCAGCATATGACCGATGACATATTGTACACGGATAACACTGGGGCGCAAATCCTGCCGAAGCTGGGCTATTTGGATTGAGATGTTAATTCGTGGCCGGTCTGGCAGATTGTGGATGAGATGCCAAATCTGTAAAGCAATTAGTTGCAGATATAACAGCTCAGAGTGTATGTGTGAAATCTCTGATGCCAGTGGTGTACTGGGGCTGGCTGGTTAGAGGTGCTAATGATTTCCAAAAGCTGCCTGTAAGTTTGGGTACATGCATACATGGATTGCATACCCAAATGCTTCAGCTCTTTGGAAAATGGAACTCACAATGTATAGTTTGAACTATGCAAGTCCTTCTGCCATGATTCATTGCATTTTACTTGGTTCAAGATTCACTTGAGGGTGTCAGAGAAACATTTACTTTGTGTGCATCACAAATCAACGTTTGAGGGACAATTTGACTCCCTCTGGGCCTCCTGAGTCTTGCTGGCATCTGTTCGTCTCTAGTTTCAGCCAACTGGAAACATCAGTTATAGCTATGGTGATGGGGAGTCCCATTCAGCTCTCCATTTAGATATCATAGACGTCAGTCTCTACGCCTTTCATAAAGTCATGCCATATCCTTGATATCCTCGTTAATTTTCATTTCCTAAAAGCTGTTTATAAAGGCGTCTCAGGTGTCCAAAGAAGGAGTTTTGATTTTAGGGAGATAAAACTGTACATTTATCCCCATGGCTTAGGTTCAGGGGTGGACCTATCCCTATAACTGCATCCGTCCCAGAAGCAGGAATGGAATAGTGAAGAAAAAAATTACAAAATCTAACATTAGAACACTTGGCTTTTTTTTTACCTCCTGGCAAAACTACTCAACCTTCCAAGCCTATTTCCTTGTCTGCAAAGTTAGGATAATAGCACCTTCCCTTCCTACAGCAGGGGTGGATGCAACACGTTGTAAGATGTAAAGCCTGGTGATGGTGGAGGTGGTGATTTTTAGTTTTGGAGTAAAGCTAGGTATATGCTATGATTCTTCATTTATACCTCTCACAGGGAGAAAGAAAAAGGCTAGGACAACTGATTTTTTTCCCAGTATCTATAGAGCTTATTGCCATATTCTGATGTGATGAGGGAACCCCAGTTGTTTGGTTAGCACCATTCTTTGTAGTCTGATCAATGTCAACCCTTGTTGGTATAATTTTCTATTACCGTCGTCCTTTATTTTCCTGGTTCATAAAACTGGTTATTTAGGGGCACCTGGGTGGCTCAGTGGTTGAGCATCTGCCCTTGGCTCAGGTCATAGTCCTGGGGTCCTGAGATCAAGTCCCACATAGGGCTCCCCACAGGGAGCTTGCCTCTATCTCTGCCTATATCTCTGCCTCTCTGTGTGCCTCTCATGAATAAATAATTAAAATCTTAAAAAAAAACACACACACACAAAAACCCTGGTTATTTTGCATCCAAATGAGTGCAACGGAGTAGAAGTAATATTGTAATAAACATGATAAAGCGTTGCTTTTACTAGTCTTGTGTGATTTAAGAAATATCGCTTAATCTCTCTGAGGGTCAGTTTTCTTATCTGTAAAGTGGTAACACGTTGCTTGCTTAAGTCACAGAGCAAAGATGAAATGTAATATAAAAGTGGTTCTGCAAACCATAAAGTGTAATGCATAATATGAGCAATTTATGTTGATCAGTTATCTTAGGCAAAAATTTACCTATAGGTTAGATGACCTTTGAGGGTCACTTTGAATCCTAAGATTCCATACTTCTTTCAAAATTCAGAGACTCACCCTACAACCGTAGGATACCAGGGAGAGGTCTATAAAAATGAGCGACCCAAGGAGTTTTGCTGTTTAGGGACTCAAGAGCTGGCCAAGAATTCAGCTCAGTCGGAGCTGACAGGGTGAACTGCAAATGGGGATCTACTGCTTCCTTGGGCCAAGGAAGTGCAGGCAAATCCCAGTGAGAAGACTGGATTTGGTTAACTGGACGTGGACATCCACAAATGATGATCCCGTCTAAGTGGGCCACGCTGTCTCCTGGAACCACGTAGCCTGGGAAGCTGCTCGGATACGGCTGTGTTCTCTGGGTCACACTGACAATAAAGCGATGAGGATGGCCTCAAGGCTTCTGACTCCAGGACCTGCTGCTGCTGCGGACTTACCCCAGCCACAGTCATTTCTGAAAGTCTGGTCATAGGAAAAACTGCCGGCCCCTCAGGTGGTAGCTCAGAGCCTGTCATGTCATATTTCCAGTATTTCTTAGCTCAAAAGATTCACAGTTTATGAGGTTATATGTGATCATTCTTCCTGGTTTTATAGACTGTGACCATGGGTCTTCTTAATTTTCTCCATTTTGAAACAAATGCTTGCCCCTTTGGTTGCCTCTCTTTTGCTTTTTTTTTTTGTTTTTTTTTTTAATTTTTATTTACTTTATGATAGTCAGAGAGAGAGAGAAAGAGAGAGAGAGAGAGAGAGAGAGAGGCAGAGACATAGGCAGAGGGAGAAGCAGGCTCCATGCACCGGGAGCCCGACGTGGGATTCGATCCGGGGTCTCCAGAATTGCGCCGTGGGCCAAAGGCAGGCGCCAAACTGCTGCGCCACCCAGGGATCCCTGGTTGCCTCTCTTTTGGATCTACCCCAATTCCTTTCTACTTTTAGGTATAGTGAACAGAACTGAACACATATTCTTAACAGGATATTTTCTCTTTTGTTTTCACTGTTCATTTTGGTCATAAGCAAATTTTGGTCAGTATTTGGTCCATAGAGGTAATTTAAGTCCATGTCTTTAGTAGACAAATAAGCATGGTTTCTTCTCCCATAATTTAGAGCCCCAAATAGCTTACAACCCCATTTTGGCCTATTTTGTATTAAAGGCACTGTGCTGCAGGAATACATATGGAAATTCACTTAGGTTTATGCCCATTAAGTAGGTTTTTCAGAGCTTTGATTATCTAATAAATGTGAGGTCATCTTTGCCAGAGTAGTAATTTTCCTGGGAAGCAATCAGAGCATTCTGTGGGGCTGGGGAGTAACCTGAACTTTTTTTTTTTTTTTTAGAAGAAAGGGGGCATCTGAATCGTCTAGGGCCCCAGACCATGGGCTGTAAGTGAATTCCCTTAAAGAGTCAACATTTTTCCAGAAGTGTCTGGGCCATCAATCTAAATAGATGCAGAGTCCCACACAACCCCTCAAAAAGAACATTAGTCACATTAAATAATTCTGTTTGTTTTCAACTCCTGACAATTTTTAGTCTAACATCTGTGGCATCATCTCTCCTCAAAGCTTCAGTTTAACATAATGGTGGTATAAGCACACTATAGTTAGGATGGCCAAATCTAAAGCTCTCATCTATGGGCTCTAACATCACAACTGTGTAGCAGCACATTGTTCTCTTCCTTTCCATCCCCATTAATGGCATTTCAATTAAGGTGTCCTTTTTCTTTCCTTTTTTTTTGGGGGGGGGTATATTCAAAAGAGAAACAAACTCTCAAGCTGGTGTCTAAATTTAGCTCCACTGATCAATACTGACATCTAAATTAACTCCCTTTTTCCAAGTGTCAACAGCTTCCAAATCAATATTTCCTGCTCCACCAACTTCCATCAAACACAAAGGCCTTCTGTGAAACTGGATCAGACGACTCCCAAAAGAAAGAGCTCGGCGCTGACAAGGAAAACAAGGCAGCCTAATGAGGCATGGTGGCTTAAATAAGCAGCAATCCCAGGGCTCTCCCAAGGCCGCTGTCCTTTACAAAGGCCTTCATGTGTTTCCTGCGGTCTGGCTGCACCAATCCAGTATGGTTTTGAACTACAGTCCTACATGTGTCATCCTCACCATGGTAGGGAAAAGCAATTTTTTCTGGCAGAAAATTTTTTTTGTCCTCCAACTCAAGAAGTACTGAAAGGGAATGCACTCAGGTATTAGTCAAGCCTGGATTATTTGTATACAGACAACCCTGCTTCTCCATTTGACAAACTACTTATCATCGTCCCAACTCCCCATCCTACACAGAATTTTAATTCAAGGATGAAACTTCATTTCCATTTTCATACCAGTCATGAAGAACATAATTAGGGAGTTGGCTCTACTATTAATTTTGGAACAGATAATAAATAAAATGAAAAACCGGGAACAAAAGTATAGATTTCATTTCAAATCAAACAGGAATGATTTTCCCGTTTTGTTCTGATGATCTCTCCGGCCACCTTCGGCTGGTGGAAATAACCACATGAACAGTGGGGGGTTCCCATGATCTGTTGGAGCTTGCTGACTGATTAGGTGACCAAGTAGATGCCAGCCTCTCTGCCGGGCATGAGCCATGCCTGCCTGTCTTCTCAGATGAGGTGCTGTGAAGGCCAGGAAAATCCCAGGCTGCGCTCTGCTGGAGGGCTTCTTTCTATTCCTCCTGGAGCCCTAAGGCAGGAACAGGGCCCAGAGAGGGCAACTATGGGACTGTTGATAAAGGAAGCATGGGCTCATGGTTCAGCTAACTAGTCAACTCAACAGGCCCTGGGAGCACAAATCCTATGCTACTTCAGTTTCCCCACTTGTAGAATACACATACACCCCCTTTTCCCCATGGTCTCTTGTCTTAAAATGAGACTGTAAATGAAAAAGTACTTCTCCTCTGAAAAGTATCTCATCATTCCCGAGAGTTGCAGAATTTGTGTACTCGTCGCTGCTAGGATTTCCACCGCGTCTCTGTAGAGACTCCGGTGTGGGCCCAGTGTAATTACACAAAACAGTCCAGGTGGCCTTCTTCGTTCCTCAGCGCTCAGGGATGCTACCTGTGCTGAGGCCCGACCTTTAGCGCAGTGTGTGCAGCCTCTGGCTGAGCGCTGATTGGCAGACGGGGGCACAGCAGACAGTTTTGCCCATTATAGTAAATAACAATATAATAACTAAGAGCCAGGCATTAATACAAAATACCCTGAATATAAGAGAACAGCAGTAATGAAAGAAAATATGGTGTTTTGTCCCCTGTAATAAATTAATAGAGTTAAATAAGACAGTGTAATAGTCACGATACATAAGAAAAAAACATTTAACAGGCAGATGTTTCTCTGCTTAGGATATTTGGGGTGGGGCTCTGTCGTCAGGGCCCAGGGGTCAGGGCTGCTTGAAAGAGTGTTGGAGCTGAAGGAACAGTCACAGAAACGCCATGGAGCCCATTGCTGGGAAGCTCTCCTGGACCAGTCGCCAGGAGGGCAGTGACATGCTCCTTCCTCAGGGTGACCTTGTCTGGGGACCTCTCTAAGCTTCAGCGGCCTCATCTATAAAAGGGGAATAATAGCTATTTCAGAGAACAGTTGTGACAATTGATGGAGAGATGGGCCTAAAAGGCACCACTCAATAAATTGAAATATTATATACTTCTATTTCTTCAATCCCATTTTGTCTAAATAAAAAATCTCCATTCATTATGCAGATAATTAAAACGTAGTCTGTCCATAATATAAATATGTAATATTTGTTAATGTGTCATTGGTTACTGTGTTTTCCTAGATGTTCCTCTAGGTTTGGGTTGGGGTGTGTCCTTTGGTAAAATGGGTCACATCATGTCTCATACGGATAAGAAGTCTTTTTTCTTAACTGACTTTAATATGGCAAGAAAATCTTCTTAGAAGTACCACACACATATTGAAAAGAATAAGGGAAACTGTTACCGCTTATGGGATAGTGACCATGTTTCAGGCACTGTAATAGGCACGCAGGTGCCCCAAGTTAACCAGCCTGGCTCTAAGGCCTAACTATGTTTTGATGAATGATTCACATTTCATGTGAACTGTGTGTCAGGATTGAGGGTAGAAAGGGAGAGAACAGGCTCAGTGCCTGAGGACAGCTTGGGAAAGCTCCAGAATGCTCCTTAGATTGTTATGAGAAAAAACGAATGCATTGGTAGTTTGAACCTTGCACCATCAGGTTTAGTTGCTGGATCCGACAGATACCAGGCTCGCTTTCAGAAACCAAACTCCTTAACTTACCTGTTTTCCAAGTTCTGGTTACATGGGTGGCTCTGTATGCCTTCCCCCCCCACCCCCCAGGAGCAGGCCCAGGTCAGGTGGAAGGTTGGAGGGGCTCACCTGCTTGACCTCAGCCTGGAGGTGCCGCAGTTGGAGGCACTGCTCTAGCCGCTTATGGGTCTGCTCTGCATTGAGCTCCAATTCGTGTTGCTTCTCATGGAGAAACTCCAGTAGCTCTTGGACCTGGGCGGCCAGATCAATGTCTTTCTCACAGATTAACTCAATTCCTAATGTAAAAAAAAAATGTGAGCAATGAAAAATGAGGTAGTACTATAAAGACCATATTTCCTTCAATATTCTTAAGAAAGTAGGGATGTGGAAACAGTCACAAGCAGCCACCCTCCCAGCCTTTACACATCCCTCCGTGAAGTGGACTATGGCACCATGGACTTCTGTTTGGGATGTCTAAACCATGCCACCTCTTTTGGATTATCTGATCCTTTGCCTGGGAATTTTGACAGATGATGGGCTCCTTATTATCATCTGGAGTTACAGAGGGAGGTGGTTCTCTGGGAGTCCATCCCCAGAGAAGAAAGCTCTGGATAGTCCTCTTGGGGGATTTACTAACACCTACAAGATTCACACACAAGGCCTGGATCACATTGGGAAATACAAAACAAAACTGAAAATAACCTGTCTCGGGAACTTCTGCCAAAGGCACGCTCTTTTAGCTGGTGAGATGCGATTTATAATTAGATGGCAAGTTTGTTCTGATGAGAGTCTCCGGGCAGTGGTGATTTTATTAGCTAACTACTTAGGCCCCCTAAAAAAAAAAACTCTCAGAAATACATGCTGGCTCTCATACATTGTTTCTCAAACACAGGCAACACACCTGATAAACATACGCCAGCAGTACCACAGGGGTACTGAGTGCTTGCCCGTTTACAAAAACCATGCGGAAGTTGCAGCCACACGAGGAGAGCTTGCTCACATCCTTCCACTTATTCAAAGCAATGAATAAGCCTAGTCAGCCATTGACAAGGGTTCCCAATGTTCATGGATACATCATCCTGCATTACTAAACTGCCAGTTGTCTGACCTATGATGGGACTGCGAGTCAATACCCATCAGGGAAGCTGTCTATTCCTTATCTACCTTCCTCTCCACCTTCCTTTTTCTTTCTTTCTTTCCTCTTTTTTTCTTTCCTTTCTTTTTCTTTCTTTCCTTTTTTTCTTTCCTTTCTTTTTTTCTTTCTTTCTTTCTTTCTTTCTTTCTTTCTTTCTTTCTTTCTTTCTTTCTTTCTTTCTTTCTTTCTCTATTTATTTACAGAGAGAGTGTGTGGGCAGGGGCAGCAGGAGAGGGAGAATCTTAAGCAGACCCTGTGTTAAGCATGGAGCCCGCCTTGAGACTCAATCTCACAACCCTGAGATCATGATCTGAGCCAAAGCCAGGAGTCAGATGCTTAACCGATGGTGCCACCTAGGCTCCCCTTTCTTACTTTTTCTATATACCTTCCCCAATACGCAACTGTGGACACACACACACTTTCTCTCCAGCAAGCTGGTGCTCCTATTCATATATCATCACCAGCAGGACTAGAGCAGTGTTTCTCAAACTGACATGGAGTGAAGGGACTGCCTTAGTTATCAAAGGCCTTGTCTGCTAGTGGCCTGAATTCCATTCCTACCTTAGCTCTTGAAGGCTATTTGAAAAGTGTGGTAGCTCTAGAACCAGCCCTGAGTTGGAATACTGGACAGGGCAGGTTATCTAAGCTGTCAGAAGCTTCATTTCCTCATATGTAAAATTGGATTTTACACACCTACTTATCTCATAAACTACCCTGCTCAGGAGTTCATGGGGAGGATTAAAGGAGATAATGCATGTAGAGCCTCTGTCATAACATCATACACACAGACCTTTGCTCCTTAGTCCTGTGACTTTCCTGATTTCTGACTCTGAAGCTCTCCACTCTCTGCCTTCTTACATTCATGCCCTCTTGGTTGCTATCTACCTCCAGCTTGATGCAAATTATAACCTATATTGTTTCTTGGTTCTGATTGATTCAACCTTGCTTAGACCCATAGCTTTACAAAAATCCTAACTGTAGATTGCTTGCCTCCTTCTGATCCCTGACCCCTCATGGCTCTGCAGCTTCTAGGTTCTGTCCAGATACCTTCCCTGGCTCCTCATCATGTACTCTATGACCCAGTGCAGCTGTGGTCTGGATGCTGCCAAACAGGGACCCAACCATTAGTGGGGTTGAGACTAAAATTCCCAAAGGGTGAGGTATTTCCACAGGGATCACACTCCAAGGAACCTGCCAATCTCAATGTATAGTCACCTAAAAATATGTCCCCCTTGGGAGACTTCCCCAACACTCTGACTCACATCATCAGAAACTCACCACCGCCACCACCAACACACCTGCCACCACCAACACACCTGCCGGATACAGTGGGGGAGTGTAAGGAGAGTGTACACATGCTAAAGGAAATTCATTTCCAAAGGCAAAAATAGTGTTTTATATAAGGACAATATGGAAGAGTGGAAAAGACTTCTGGTGTTACATGGTAATAATTTCAGTATCTTTTCATATTTATTTTTTCTACCAGTTTCATAATTCCAAATCCCAGCTCCTGAAATATCTGTGGGAGACAGAAAAGAACGGCTTGTTCTTTTGGCAGTCAGCTCCATCCAGCTACTATTTTGAATTACCAAGGGGACGAGGTACAGCATCACTTTGACTGAAACAAAAAATAAGAAGTACAAAAATTTCTATCTCTGCAGTGCTCGGCACAGTGAGATGACCCCTGACTCCCATATTTACCTTCTGGAAATGTAATTTAAGATCCATCTGCAGGAGCAGAAGCTCTTCCCTGCTTCCAGCCATGATGCAGGTTTTTTCCAGCTCGTTTTCATTCCGCGTGCCCCTCTGGTGTTTAATATGCTGGGCTTGGAGAAAGCATCTTTCTCTGGGAAGCCCATGGCTCACCTCTGCCACTCGCATGTAAATGGACCCTCTAAGCTGGTAACTCATCAAAGGGCTGGTGCCTGCCTAGCACACCATCCACACCTGGCTCCCGGCCTGCCCGGAGACTCAAGCCCTTCACTTGCATCTACCTCCTTCGATACTATTTTATGTATGAACACAGGAAATAAAATGGGGGGAAGACAGTGCCTCCTGCCTTCTGCACTCAACAGCACATCATGCTGTGCATTGAGTGGATGGAACAGGAAGTGGCACCTGGAAGGATAGAAACTCACTCCTCCCTCCCTCCCACCACCCCCAAACACATTGACGTGAGTTCCCGTCAAAACCCGTCAACTGGCAAATATCCATCAATCAACCCCAAATAGAGTGTGCTTGTGCTCATGTTACTGTTCTAATCTAATCTAATCTAATCTAATCTAATCACAGTCCTGTTTTCCTAGGGGCTCTTAGAAATGCAGCAAGACAGGTGAGCTCTTTCCAGCAAATAGTGAAACAGTTTGTCGGTCTCTTTAGGGCAAGTTGTACTGATGTGTCCCACAGTGTTCTGTACCCATCCTTCCTGCAGAACATTCTCATTGGGATGGTTCCTTATTAACTTGCACATGTTCTCACAGTATTACAGGCTCCCTGGTGCCAGGACCACATGTCTTATGTATCTCTGCGTCTTCAGCACCCAGCACAGTGCTTGACTCAGAACACCCAAAAGATAACCTTTTCAGTGAGTACCTGGCCTCTTTAGGGGAAGGGCTCAGGTCATTTGCTGTGGTGGAAAGCACCTGCAGATGCCGGAAAGGGACAGACTTAGGTTTGAATTTATGCTCTTCCCCCTATTAAAAGTGCATCTCTGGGCTCCCAATCTTCTCTGAGCTTGGGTAAAAACAATCCCAAAAATGACCTCTGGGGGTGTTGGAGGCTTTAGTAAGATTAGGTGTATAGAGTGGCTGGCATTTAGTAAGCTCAAAATATCCATGTTCCTACCTCCTCCTTTCCCTTGGGTAAATTACCACATATTCATCACTGATTACTAAAGGAGCTGTTGAATGGCTTGTAAAAATGTCAATATAAAATCCTACCATGAGATATTTATGGACTTGCTCAGTGTACATCATTAGAAACTGTGATGGTCTGGATGCTCTTAGACCAGTGCTCTCAATCTTGGCTCACATTAGAGCTGGAGAACTTTAAAAATCACCATGTCCTTGGCCACACCCAGAGCAGTAACAGGAGAGACTCTCTGTGGGCGGGATCCTGGCATCAGGAAGTCTTAAAGCTCCCTGGGTGATATGAACATGCAACCAAGATGAGAAACCACTGGATAAGAGGGTACAGTGGCCAGCAAGCCAGAGACAGAGATAGTCTCTATGCTACACTCCGTCAGCAGAGTGGCTGGCACTGTGTTTGTTTAGGGATCGAGGCCACAGCTAACTGTACTTAGCTTTGCTGCCACATTGAGGGTACCACTTTCCTTTCCTCCAGGAGAGAGGTGGCTGTCATCTAGGGTAAGATAGAGGTATTCCTGGCTATGCCACCCAGATGCGTTCTTTGTGCTTTAACATCAGCCTGCCTCAGAGACAGAACATCTTTCCTCCTTTCTTCTCATTCTGCGCCACTCCTCAGTGCTACACCCAGATCAGAAATTACAAAGTCCTTTAATTGGGTTTTTAGATCAACATTCTCAACCCTGGCCGTACAGCAGAATCACTTGAGAAGTTAAAGAAAAGAAAAATCTGGGGGCACTCCAGATCAGACCAAATAAGCAAGACTTCCTTGAGGAGTGGGGCCCAGCCCTTGGTAGTTTTAAGTTCTGCAGGTGATTCTAAATAAGCAGCCAGGCCGAGAACCATGGTTTCACACCTACATTCTCTTTCCCTCCACTCAGCCCCCATCAGATCCACATCCCTATTAACCCCAGAGTGGCTTCCATTCTGGAAAAACACAGGCGTTTTCTTTCCTTTGATGATGCAAGTGAAATTATTCGTGGCCAGCTATTTTTGCCTACATCTGTTCCACCCACACTGATGTTCACTCTATTAACTAAGTCAGTACTATTATTGAGAACGTGCTATGTACAAGACATGACCACTCTGCTAGATGCTGAGAATGGAAAGAGAAGGAAGAGTCCTGCTCTCATGCTGCTGGAGAAGCTACAGGAGCACATAGTCCAACAGAACACAGTGTGTGCCAGAAAACAAGGATAACATACAACAGTCACCAAGCTTTCTTGAGCCCTTACCATGCTCAAGTATTATCACACTGCATCCTCATGGTGACTGTGTGTGGTGGGTATTCTTGTGACTGCTGTTTTCTGGAAGAAGGTGAGGCTGGGAGAGATTGGGTAGCATGTGCAAACGCAACGGGGTAGGGAGGGGTGTGGCCGGGTGCCATCCATACTCTGAGCGCTGTGCTCAAGGAAGAGAGATCCCCACACCACACTTTATTTATTTCCAAATGCCAGGGCTGGGTTCTTCCCAGGCACAGTAAATTTTAAGTATCATTGCCACAGATCCCAAAGATTTTTCACTTAAAAAATCTCACATAAAGAAAGAGCTTGATGCTTTGATTAGACCACAAAAGCAACGTATCCACAAGACACGTAGCTCATCTTACTCCCAAGGTCACGTGGAATAGTCACATGGTCAGATTTCACTGGAGAGACCTGTGGCATAGCCACTGGGGGTGATGAGGCTGACTCATCATGGGAAGTACAAACTGGAAGGGACTATAGGAATCCAGGCCCGCCTCCCACAGTAGACAGAAGAAGAGAGGTCTAAAGAGAAGGAACAGGAGCTTTCCAAAGGCAGACTGCTTGCTAATAGTGGAATCGGACCTTGACTTTAGCCAGCGTGTTTTGTCCAACTTGACTCTTTCCAGCAATACCTGGCACCTCCCAACATGAGGCCAAAATAGATCACACTACAAGGAAGAAAGAATGATGGGCAAGTGGAGCAAGTTCCTGCTTCACCTTCCATTCCTGAGGCTGATTTAAGCAAAGGCTCCTGCTTTGGGTAGAGCCGTTGGCACACCAGAGGCATTTAGTGCGACCCGGCTCAACACTACAAACCACACATCTGAAAATAAGTGTATGGAAATACCCTACTTCCATTTATTCCTACAGAATCAAAGCATAAGCCCTTAATTAATGGACCATGCAGGCCTAATGATCAATTTAGTTAATTCTGGAACTGTCCTTTTTCTAAGACAACAGCTTATATTATCTTTATATTATTATGTATTATATATTGAACTATATTTAGCTCAAATATAGTTTACTGGACACCCAGCATCAATGACTAAGACATCTGCTGCCTCAGTTCCTGCATCTCTGAAGTCCTGCATTCCTCAACCTCCTGGGGGCAAGACCCACCCCGGGGTCCACCCCTAGCCTCCAACCCCCCTCCCCGGCTCTGGTACGACTCTGCCTCCCCTTCCTCCAAGCCAGAGGTGAGGTACATGCATCCTCTGCAGGACCAGGCACTCAGCAGCAGACAGGACGTGAGCTTCCCCGAAATCCCTGGATCCATTCCCTTGGAAGCCTCAGGGATGACGCCAGACTGAGCAGCTAGCTGTGGTAGGAACAGGGGACCAACCAGGCCCAGCAGAGAGGCCCGAAGAGGCCAGTCAAGCCTCTTTGGACAAAGCTCATTTCCTGATCAGGATACTATGGGTGTGGGCCCACCTGCCTGGAGTGTTTTCACCCATTCAGCCCTCGAGGTCGAGGAGGCGGCGGAGCACGGCCAACCTGCAATCACAGGCAGGCTTCAGGGACTCTCGGCAACCTGTGGTCTTTCCGTTACCATGGCTACCTGGCTCTGGGGACAGAGATGGGCTTGCCCAGGTCACGCCAGCACCCCGGTACCAAGTACTGCAGGTTTCCAGGCAGACCGGCCTTCCTCCTGCCAGATGCATCAACACCCAACGGCGTGGGGTGAGCATCCCTGCCAGGCGTCTCCGTCCCAGCCTCTCTTGTGGGTCCCACGCATTCTCTCGGGGTTCCCAGTCTTAGCTGGAGAGCCAGGTACTGTGAGCATCGTGAGGACAAGCTCTGAGGTGAACCCTGAGTAAGGGGGTTCAGTAAGGTTCTCAGCCGCAGAGAAAGGATCATGGTTCCCTCCCCTTCCCCAGCGAAACCCTGAAGATGTACAAGCCATTGTCACGCATGTGTCTCAAACTGTAACGTGCACAGGGTTTACCTGGAGATTCTGTTAATGTACGGATTCAAATGGGCAAGTCTGGGATAAGGGCTGGGATTCTCCGTTTCTAACCAGCTCTTAGGTGATGCTGGTGCTGCCGGTCCAGGGCTCACACTCCTAGGAGGTCCTAGACTCCTGGTGCATCAGCACCACCGGGAGGGCTTGGGGGAACACAGACCGTCGGGCCCACCCCCCGAGACTCTGACGTGGCAGGTTCTATGGGCCCTCCGACCTGCATGTGGGTCTCAGCCCTGGCTGCACAGTGGATTCACCTGAGGAGGGAGTCTTTTTTTTTTTTTTTTGGCTGATGCCCAAGTCCCATTCAGGGGCAGTTAAACCAGAATATCTGTGGTTGGAGCCTGGCACTGTCACTTGTAAGAGTCATCTCCCACCTCAACCAAGAGACTGCAACGTGAACGGCCCTTCCTGGGGCTACAGGGCAAGCTCTGCACTGTGAACAAGCCAGGGCAGCCACAGCTTTTACAACACAAATGAAAATTCATGGAAAGGTTATACTGAGCAAAGTGGACAGAATTTACTGATTGTCTCTCCTCTGGTTAGAAGTGAGGTTTCTTGGAATGCTGTGATTTATTCTTTCAGGTCACAGTACTCTATGGTCAAGTTTGATTGCTAAAGTCGGCCTGACAGTCTCATGATTCTAAATACCCTTCATGGTCGGGACGCCTGGGGGTGCTCAGCGGTTGGGCGTCTGCCTTCGGCTCAGGGTGTGAACCCCGGGGTCCTGGGATCGAGTCCTACATTGGGCTCCCTGTGAGGAGCCTGCTTCTCCCTCTATGTTTCTGCTTCTGTGTGTCTGCCATGAATAAATAAATAAAATCTTAAAAAAAAATCCTTCATAGTCAACAGGGACATAGACTGTGTTTTAAAGAGTTGATGATGACCTTGACCCGTTTGCCTCTTCCTAGAGGGTGAGGAGCCTGAGCCAAGGAGGACCTGCCGGGCAGGGCAACGGGTGGGTTTGGGTGTAGAGACTGGATCCCAGCACTCTACTGGCATGTGCCAACACGAGGGATTTCCTGTCTAGTGGACTAGCTGGACCCTGGGATTGCTATGGCTCTCTCCAGTTCTAACACCAAAGACCATTTTGGAGAGCGGTGGGTCTAATAGGAAGGGGTCATGCCTTTGCTGGGTAGATACTGAATATACCTTGAACGTGAGAGAAGTGAGATCTGGGTACTCAGCCCTGGTTTCTTGAGAAATCATAAAATTATATGACCTTGCCATAAACTTCTATCTGCACTTCAAACACTCATACACAGACAGGTGATTAAAAAACCGGGACTCTCAGAGCCCGAGACCAGAGACCCCTGGGGGTGGAGGGCAGGAGAGGGGACCTGGAGGGTGAACAGCCAACATCTACACACTGGAGTACAATTCACTGGCTGGCTAGCTGCTTTTGGAGCCCACCTGGTTTAGTTCCACAGGCCTGTGGTTTTTGTGAATCTGTGCCATTGTCCGTGATTTGTTTTTCCCATTCCCTGCACAGGCCTCGGAGACCCCGGCCCTATCCTCCTCTTTACAAGAGCCTAACTGGACAATTTTAGACAAGCGATTTCAGCTTTCCTGCATCTGTTTTCTTTTCTCTAAAATGGCAAAAACCCTCCATTCCTGTATCTGTGGGAATAAAACGAATGAGCGGAGTGGAAGGACAGGCGGGGTCAGGCTGTTCCTGTTTCCACGGGCTCCCCGCCTGCCGGGAGGAGAGGCCACCCACCTGACGCCTGGACCTCCATGATGTACTGGTGCAGGTCCTGGCCCTGCTGGATGACCTCGAAGGTCATGTTGTTCATGGCTAGCTTCCGCTCCGTGTGGCGCTGCAGCCGCTGCTCAGCCAGCGTCAGGTCCTCCGTGTTGAAGTCATTCATCTGCCGGAGCAGGTCCTCGTTCCAGGCATCTAGCTCCGCCGTCACCTGGAAGGGAATGATGGTCAGCTCGCCCACTCCAAGCCCTATAACGAACCCCATCCTTGCATCCGTCTCTGCTCTGCGGCCGTCGCAGCCCTAAACTACAGGTGCGCACCCGCGCCACACACCCACACGTGCACACCTGCTGCAGTATCCTCCAGGTGTTTCTATGTCTGCAGGCACGAATGTTGCAGAAGTTACAGTTTATAAAGCTTTTGCATATTCCATCCTGTTCCACTCCCACCATGACCCAGAGAGGCAGGTCAGGTGGAGATCTCCGGGTCCATCTTACCGACAAGGAAACTGGCGTCCCCTCAGACAGATGCCACCTGCCCGGAGTTCACCCTGCTGCTGAGGGGTGCACACCTGCGGACACAGCTCAGTGCTGCTTCTGACTGCAGAGGCTTTGTCCACCACACCCCAAGCAGGACTCTAAAAATGTCATCACTGGATAGAGTGGTCGCTGAGGCTCCTCACTCTTTCCGAGCCACAGAAACTGAGAGCTAGAGAAACCTGTCACTGGCCCGAGGTGACACACTCAGAGCTGGTGCACATCAAGCCCCGGGGCCCGGCTGTGGTTCCCTTGTTCTACTGCAGGGGACTCTCTCCCTGCAAAGGCTGATACCTGGACGTGGTGACTAACGGTGTAAATGGGGAGCAGACCTGTAGAAATCCCAAGCAGACTGCATACCATCAAAAGGTGGAATTCTAATGAAGACTGAAGCCTGTAATGAATGGAAACTCTGCCCTCATAGAAACCTGCTAACTGGTTATGGCTCTACACCTTCCCTGGTTGTACCTCAAACATGTGACCGAACGGAGGGACTGAATCCCACGCTTCCTTTGCAACCGCACCATTCCCAGGCAGGAACTCGGCAGGACTGAATGAGCAACTGCACCTGAGCAGAGAACCCTTCTGACGGTTTTCAGGTCCACTGTCTCATGCTCACACCTGCCTGGTAGCCCTGCGAAGGCCATGGCACAGGGACTGTCACCTTCTTTTCTGAGAAGAGGAAATGAAAGCCTCACCCTGCATCAGTTTGGGCCCAGGCAGCCTAAGCCCAAATCCTAGAGCCCTTGTTCAGGGATTTCCATTATGCTGCATCTCCCCCATAACTGCTGACATGTGGCATAACCTCCCCTGCTGACAACCACTGGCATTCTGGGAACGTCAGGGGATGGAGTGGAGGTTGGAGAGAAAGCCAGCTCAAGACAGCTGGGAGATGGCACACTTACATCCTAGGCTGGGGCCATGCAGACTAGGATGGGAGAGGCAAGCGGCCTGGCATGAGAGGCTGCCATCTGGGGTACAGGACTCCATTTTTTGTCTAACAGTAAGACTTTTCTTCATGCAGAGAGTAGTTGCTTGTCTTGGAAGCAGAGATAGGGGAATTGTAAAAATACCACCTAATGGCCGCATGGGTGGACAAAATGGGTCAAAACTGAATGCTTAATTAAATATGTGCATTTTATTGTATGTAAATTATACTTCAACCTTTTTAAATACAGGAAGGAAAACATTTATTTATAGGCCTATTCATCCTATATTATAAATCAATTATCTCTCTTACTCTTCTCAGTTTAACTCTTTTCTCTAGTTAGAGAATGAAGTACTTTTCAAAGAAGGGATACAACAAAATCCTGTTTTGCCTGTCAACCTGCTGGTTCCCAGATCCCCAGCATAAGTAGATACTAGGTTTTCCCGCTGAGCTCAGCGGATCCCTTAGTTGACCTGAGATGATGTGGGGAAATGAGGTCGGAGTCTAGGACTCAGCCAGGCTGTCTTCCTGATGTCTACTCTCTTTTCTCTCTTTTTGCCTTGCTCTTCCTATTACCCCCAGCAGTGATACCCAGATCCTTGAAATAGTCTGATCTGTTTATTTCTAATATTTACTGGGATTTTCTTTCCTATTTTCTGTGTCATCAAAAAATGTTCTTTCATTGCCCTCCTCCCTACCTTCTTTCTGGGGTACCAGGCTGGCACATAGCAGGGGCACTTTTTTTTCTTTTTTTCTTTAATAAGAACCTTGGTTTTCAAACCTGAAGCTTACCAGCTGTTAATGAACAAGCCTAACTTTCCAGCCCCGTCTCATGGGGGCTGTCAGTCAGCAGGTTACTCGCTGACCCTGAGAGTTGGCTCCTACTTTGTCCAGCCTCCTTCCCTGACCTGATAGCCCTGAAACACCCATGTTTCCTCTCCCAGTCTGTCAGATCCTCATCACCCTTCAAAGTCAACCCTCTGACGTGAAGAGCTTCATGACCCCCATCCCCCCCAGACTCAGAAATTTTTCTCTGGCTTATTTCATAATATTGGACATAGACTTGTTTGCTAATACAGAGACCGTGAAAAGGAAATCCTGCACTGGGGAATTAATTTGGCTATTTCACTCCATTTGGAAAAGAAACCTGAAAGAATTTGTTCAGGGCAAAAAGTAGGGCCTGCACCAGATGAATGAAGGAGAGAACCCAAGTTGCCCACAGGGTATTCAGCTTTCAATCACTCTATTTTGCTTTCTCCTTCCACTCAATTAGGTCCATCTCAGCTCCAGCCCACTCAGTTCCCCTCTTGGCTCCAGTGGCTCCTATCTCCCTTGCTCTCCTGAATTAATTGGAGTGCTAGGATACAATGACCTCTTTGAGAGATACATTGGCAATATTTCTATGCTAACAATCGTCTACTCTAGAGCCATAGCCATAAGGGAAATCAGAGAAGGAGTGAAACAGAAAGAAAGGATAAGAGGCAATGGGAAGTGGGAAGGCTCACTTCAAAATGAAGCCCCAGACTTTCCTGCCAGATGAGATTCACTGAATCCAGCATCCTCCTGGCACACAATGACCCGAGAGATTTGGCTTAGCAGTTGCCTTGGGCTCTATTCTCATGGTGACTTCTTCACTGGCTCCTCCCACTTGCTGAGAGTCTTCCCCCCTCTCCTCCCAATGTTTTATTTTGTACTTGTCCAAATCAAAACTCACCTGTCACTTCTCTTCGCTTTTCCCATGGTCTATTCCCATCTATTTAGTTCTTTACTATCACCTGTGAAGTTGGAAATCTCACTCCACAGTCCTTTTCTCCAAATCATTTGAAGATGATGGTAATCATGATGAAGATGATGGTCAGGGGTTGAAGAAGGCATTTGCCTTGTACAGGCATACTTCATTTTATTGAGCTTTGCTTTATTGTGCCTCCCAGATGTTTTTTTTTTTTTTACAAATTGAGAATTTGTGGCAACCCCGTGTTGAGCAAGGCTGTTGGCACCCATTTTCTCCACAGCATTTGCTCATTCCAGGTCTGTGTCACACTTTGGGAATTCTCATAACATTATAAATTTTTTCATTATTGTTATATTTGTTGTGGTGATCTGTGATCAGTGATCTTTGATGTTACTATGGTGATTGTTTTAGAGCACCATGAACTGCACCCATGCAAGATGGCAAACTTAATATGCATGTTCTGACTGCTTCACCAACCAGCCACTGGCCCATCTCACCCCCTTTCCTTGGGCTTCCCTATTCCCTGAGACACAACACTGAAATGAGGCCAATTAATAACCCTACAATGACCTCTAAGTGTCCAAGTAAAAGGAAGAGTCTGTACACCTCTCACTTTAAATCAAAAGCTAGAAATGATTAGCTTTGTGAGGCATGTTGAAAACTGAGACAGGCCAAAAGCTAGGTCTCTGACACCAAACAGCCAAGTTGTGAATGCAACAGAAGAGTTCTTGAAGGAAATCAAAAGTGCTACTCCAGTGAATATTCAAATGATAAGAAAACAAAACAGACTTATTGCTGATATGGAGAAAGTCTGAGTGGTCTGGACAGAAGGTCAAACCAGCTACAATATTCCCTTATGGCAAAGCCTAATCCAGAGCAAGGCCCGAACTCTTCTATTCTAAGAAGGCTGAGGAGAGGTAAGGAGGCTGCAGAAGGAAAGTTAGAAGCCAGAAGAGGTTGGTTTATGAGGTTTAAGGAAGGAAGACATCTCTGTAACATGAAAGTGCAAGGGGAAGCAGCAGATGCTGACGTAGAAGCTGTAGCAAGTTGTCCAGAAGATCTAGCTCAGATAATTCAAGAAAGTGGCTACACTAAACAACTGATTTTCAATACAGATAAAAGAGCCTTCTATTGAAAGAAGATGGCATCTAGGATTTTCGCAGCTAAAGAGAAGCCAATGTCTGGCTTCAAAGCCTCAAAGGATAGGCTGACTCTCTTGTTAGGGGCTAATGCAGATGGCGACCTGGAGCTGAAGCCAGTGCTCACTGACTGTTCCGAAAATCCCAGGGCCCTTAAGAATTATGTTAAATCACTCTGCCTGTGCTCCATAAACGAACAACAAAGCCTGGGTGACAGCACATCTGTTTACAACATGGTTTACAAAATATTCTAAGCCCCCTGTTGAGACCTACTGTTCAGAAAAAATATTTATTTTAATATACCACTGCTCACTGACAATGCATCTAGTCATCCAAGAGCTCTGATGGAGACATATGTTGAGATTAATGTTGTTTTCATGCCTACTAACACAACATCCATTCTGCAGCCCATAGATCAAGAAGTACTTTCAACTTTGAAGTCTTATTATTTAACAAATACATTTTGTAGGGCTGTAGCTGCCACAGATAGTGATTTCTCTGATGGATCTGGACAAAATATATCAAGAACTTTCTGGAAAGGATTCACCGCTCTAGGTGCCATTAATAACATTCACATGATTCAGGGGAAGAGGTCAAAATAACAGCATTATTAGGAGTTTGGATGAAAGTTGATGATGGATGACTTTGAGGGTCCAAGATTCCAAGGGAGGAAGTAAGTGAAGATGTTGGGGAAGCAGCAAGAGAACTAGAATTAGAAGTGGAGTCTGAAGATGTAACTAGATTGCTGCAATCACATGATAAAACTTGAATGGATGAGGAGATGCTTCTTATGGATGAGGACAGAAGGTGGCTTCTTGAGATAGAGACTAGGGGTGATGCTGTGAAGACTGTTGAAATGACAACAAAGCATTTAGT